GCCACTTTTATTGTATCAGTGGAACTATCTAAAGTGTACAGTCAACAGCGTTATGACTATTTTAATTATAGTGTATCGTTGCTTTTAGGCATGGAAAGGTTAATTCTGTTATTTTTTTTTAGATAGTGTTTTCTTTAATGATTTTGTGATGTGAGGGCGGAGGAGGATGGTGTTTAGGGTTTAGAGATGACTGGATTAGGCTGACGGATCATTTTGGTTAAATCCAAGTTTAACACGTTAGATCACCTTTAAAGAGGCAGTAACGTAGCTATTGTTTGGAAAACAGATTCCGGATAACAGATAGAAGACAAATTTCATCACTTTGTGATTGGTAGTCGTGCCATACAACTGATCATTTTGCTTGATTGTCACTATTATTTACAGATCATTGATGCTGCACCAAGGATACAATGAATTAATTTATCCTGGGCAAACTGACATTTTGGTAGCCTGCCAACTGTAACTTTGTTACTATAACAGTTCTTCAGTCCTTAACCCCAGTCACTTTGTAAAGGCTATTGAATTGTTTACTGGGGAATATAAAACACATTTACCTCTACAGTAATAATGAGGTTTGTGATACTTTGTAACTTTCCTTAATCCTGACATAGAGGCCTTCATGGTGCATTGGTGCTCAGCACTATGAGGGTTAAATTAATTTGCATTGTAAAGTCTGGCCATACCAGAATAGCCTGGCATGCTATTTAAATGAAAACACAATTTATAGTTACTTCTAGTTAGCTATTGGGTTGGGCAAAAAAAAAAGGGACAATTTCCCTTTAAATAAAATCATGTGACTGTGGCACCTTCAGTTTTATACTCTCGGACACGGCCAGTCCTGAGCTAGTCACATGGGAACAAGTATTAATCATAATAGCTGAGAGAAAGTGAGTGAGGTTTCTATATCTGAGGGATCGTGTCTCATTAGTAATTGTGAGATATTTCTATCTGGACATCACTCAACGTGTTTATTGCTCTCACCCACTCATAGGGCAGAGTTAGGCAACCTCTGGCACTCCAGATGTGGACTACATCTCCCATAATGCTGGCAAAGCATCAGGAGAGACATAGTCTACAAATTAGAGCCGACATGTCCAAACTGCAGGCCCACATATGTTGCTAAACTACAACTCCCATGATTCCCTAGCTATCGGTGCCATTGAAAAAATCATGGGAGTTGTAGTTCAGCAGCATATGAGGGGCCGCAGATTGGACAGCCATGGAGTAGAGCATTTCCTACCCCTGTCCCAGGCAGGCAAACCACCTTAAATAAGGGTGGAGGAAGGTCCAATTTATTTCAGGGTATTTCAATGTTTGGCTGGGTTATTTAGCAAAGTGTGCATTTTCAGGAATTCTGAATGATTTCATAGTGAATACTGAATTGTAATCCATAATACACTACTGAGAAAAAGTATCCAAGCCAGCTTTGTTTTCATTTAATTTACTTTAAATTTGTGTTATAGTGAATAACTCCTGATTAAGATTTTTTTTGCAATTTTTCTTTTTTAATTCTTGTTGCAAAATTAATTTTAACCCCTTTATGAACATTGTCCATTAATAGCTTAAGTAGTCGGTTGCTAGACATGTCTCTGTGGCAGCCAATCACAGTGATTGTATGCTGTAACTGACCAAGGAGTTTCTGTAACAATAAAATAGTGATGTGCCTAAAAGAACACTTAATTGAAATGTATTTCTTAACCATTTAGTTTTTAGAAAGAAAACATGCATGTATTTTTCCTGCATGTTTTCTCTGTGGGTATATGAAAAAACAGCTTGCTAAAGAGAAAGGCCTGCTGTCTGTACCCTTTGCAAGCCCATTTTAGTCTATACCAGGAATACTCCAATCAGAGACATCTCATTGAGAAGCTGCAATCTTGCGTGTGCATGATCAACGTTCCATGTTTCCCAGCGAGCTGTAGTACAGCTCAATTAGAAGAGGGCAAGGCAGACGCACGCTAGCCCAGTGGACTTGACACTTCCATTAGTTCTTTAGAGCTAACGGAAGTGGAATAAAACCTTCTGGCTGTCTGTTTGACCACCGGGGAGGTGTTTCTGCCCCCATTTGTAAAAGGGACGATGCTGATTGAAATCGGCACTTTTATAAATTGTTACAAATATGACAGACTCCAGACACATAAAGCACTGTGTGTGTAAAATGTTCCTTTAAATTCTAGTAAATATATCTCGGTTTTGTAACATTTTATGCTTGTTCATAGCTAGCACTTTTACCTAGGAATTCTTGGAAAAGTTCTGCCCTTGAGCCATATACCTATGGCTATACAAGTGTCTTCCGTCAGTCATTTTGTAGGAATACATTAGCGAAGATGATAAATGCTAGAGTACAATAGCCAAACCTCAACTTTGAACTGGAATGGAATTCAATCAATTGGAGGTAGATTGACGGGAGCACCTAGTACAAAGCATACAACCTGCTTTAAATGCCACAGGCTGCTCCCCTTATAACAGAGTGACTAAAATGTCTGGGAGCCTCATTTTTCAGCATAACCGTATAAAATAAAAAAAAATAGAATAATTTAATAATTCTGTCCATGGGGTCTTTTCACTTAAACAATTTAATTGCAATGATTTTAAAATCAAAACACACCATTTATGTTGAAATTAGACCATTATGGCATAGACCAGTCTGCGACCAGGACATTGCTGAGATGTTTTTCCGTAGGACAATCTATTCATGGATGTGCTTGAAAACAGATGTAATGCATGCGCTCTCATACAAAATTCTGAGAGAATATGAAAGTCAGAACTCACACACCACAAGCCATGGAGCGAGGTGTGGGTAGACAGATGTCTTAAAGGGACACTATAGTCAGCCAGACCCCTTCAGTTCAATGAAATGGTCTCGTTATGGACCTGTCTATTTGACTTGCAATGTAAGACATTTCACTTTCTGCAGGAGAAGACCATATGCGGCGTGGACTGTAGTGGTTATATTGGCAGTCTTCCTTTAAGATTGGCGGATCATTACGGAAGGTGTAGTTTTACAGTAACTGGGGACCTACCTTTTGCCAGGTCTGCCATAAGCAATGCAATTAATGTGAATATGGTGCTTGGGGTGTCCCATTAATTCATTTTGATGGCCAGCAAACTCAACGCTACAGGATTTGGGCTCTCGGAGTAAATGTACTGTGCTCAAACAGGTTCTGTGTCTGACTATAGATAATTATGAATTACAGGTTGTAGTTTAATAGTATCATAATGTTTCTGTGATTTAAAGGAGTTTAAAACCGTTATATTTGTTGTCATAAATGGGTTCAATAGTTCTAATATCACTCTCTTTTTCAGGTTCAGTTTTCTCTGATGTTGAGCATACAGCATTAATGTATCACAGATGTATCACAGACTGCTAATTACTATCATATTGGTGAACTTTCCAAAAGATAACCGGAGGATCTTCATAATAATTAACCCTTCAACAACCCATCACAGAAACTCCATATGGTTACCAACCTATTGCTGTGATGGAACTTACTGTAATGATAAAATAATTTATCAAGACACTTAGGCTATGGCACATCATCATAATTAGCTATAGTAACCGGCAAAAAATGTGATGGTTACTTTTTGAAATATGTTCTTGTCTCAAAAGTCTAGGGTTAATTCACTAAACAGCGCATGGAAGTGGAAACAACGTGGCACAATTTAGGCCACTATAGCATATTTGGAAATATCCATCACTCAGCTATAGTCACAGCCTGGCTATTTCAGCATGAATGATGCAATTCGTTTTTCAGCTCAACGCCAATCGCAGTTTAGTAGATAAACCCATCTGTGGTTAATAGTGCCATTCATTTTCAGAATATGAGCCGAGAAGTGGTCTATTAATCCTAAAAATGCCCCATCCCTTAATGCCCTGACAATTTGCCTGTTCACCCTAAGCATTTAGCATTCAGTCTGGATCTTTCTCAATTCGTTCTAGGTTTCGGTCCATTCACATTTGAAATCAGGGTTTTTTTTTACCCAAAACCTCTCCCAATTCACACTAAGAATCTCTCAATTCACAATGGAAATCTAACCTGAGAATTTGTCCATTCACTCTGAGAATCTGTCCATTTACCCTGAGAATCTGCCCATTCTTCCTGAGAATCTGTCCATTCACTCTGAGAATCGATCCATTTACTCTGAGAATCTGCTCATTCTTCCTGAGAATCTGTCCATTCACTCTGAGAATCGATCCATTTACTCTGAGAATCTGTCCATTCACGCTGAGAATCGATCCATTTACTCTGAGAATCTGTCCATTCACGCTGAGAATCGATCCATTTACTCTGAGAATCTGACCATTCATCTAGACAATCTGTACATTCACCCTGAGAATCTGACCATTCTTCCCGAGAATCTGACCAATTACCCAGAGAATCTGACCATTCTTCTTGAGAATCTGTCCATTCACCCTGAGAATCTGTCAATTTATCCCAAGAATCTGACCATTCACTGAGAATCTGTCCATTCACCTTGAGAATCTGTCCATTTACGCTGAGAATCTGTCTATTCACCTTGAGAATGTCCCTTAACGCTGAGAATCTGTCTATTCACCCTGAGAAACTGTGGATTCACACTGAGAATCTGCCTATTTACCCTGAGAATATGTCCATTCACTCTGAGAATCAATCCATTTACTCTGAGAATCTGCCTATTCTTCACGAGAATCTGTCCAATTACCCTGAGAATCTGACCATTCAGCCTGAGAATCTGTCCCTTCACCATAAGAATTTGTTCCCTGTCACTTGATCCCAATTTTGGGCTTCTTTCATTATTCTTATAAACCTGTCAGAATGTATGAGCAGCTGACCCAGCAGGTAAAGGGTTCTGCCCTCCAGCACAGAGCCAGCCTGGAACACAGGGAGGAAAGGGTTACATTCTATGTGGGCGGGGCCTGCGTTTGGCAATGTAGTGTGTATGAATGTAAGGGGCGGGGTCTAGCAGGATACATTCTGTCTTCCAGTTTTAATATTAATGAGGGGGCGTGGCTTTGCCTTTCGGATTCTGGCTGCAGCTGACAGCTGGAGAGAGTCACCGGGAGACCCAGACTCACAGGAGGACATCCTGGGACTACAGCCCTGGACCACACCGGGAGAGCCTGTCCCCACACTGGGCATCATGTACTGGGAGACTACAGGGCCTGCTGAGCCCGCTTAACCAGGAGCCTGCACCCCATTATAACCTGGGCATCCCAGCACCCCATTCCAGCCTCCACAGACCCCCATCTTCCTGCACCCCAACTCTGCAAGCCAGCACCCCACCACTACACCCCCGGACAAACATCACTACAGCTCTGGACCACTCCAACACAGACTGCACCCCATTATAACCTGGGCATCCCAGCACCCCATTCCAGCCTCCACAGACCCCCATCTTCCTGCACCCCAACTCTGCAAGCCAGCACCCCACCACTACACCCCCGGACAAACATCACTACAGCTCTGGACCACTCCAACACAGACTGCACCCCATTATAACCTGGGCATCCCAGCACCCCATTCCAGCCTCCACAGACCCCCATCTTCCTGCACCCCAACTCTGCAAGCCAGCACACCACCACTACACCCCCGGACAAACATCACTACAGCTCTGGACCACTCCAACACAGACTGCACCCCATTATAACCTGGGCATCCCAGCACCCCATTCCAGCCTCCACAGACCCCCATCTTCCTGCACCCCAACTCTGCCAGCCAGCACCCCATCACTACACCCCCGGACAAACATCACTACAGCTCTGGACCACTCCAACACAGACTGCACCCCATTATAACCTGGGCATCCCAGCACCCCATTCCAGCCTCCACAGACCCCCACTAACTGCACCCCAACCCTGCAAGCCAGCACCCCACCATTACACCTCTGACAAACATTAATACAGCACTGGACCACTTCAACAAAGATTGCACCCCATTATAACCTGGGCATCCTAGCACCCCATTCCAGCCTTCACTGTCCCCCATTCCCTGCAACCCAACCCTGCAAGCCAGCACCCCACCATTGCACCCCCTGGCAAATATTAATACAGCCCAGAACCACTTCAACACAGTCTGCACCCCATTATAACATGGATACCCCAGCACCCCATTCCAACCTTCACTGATCCCCCACTTCCTGTACCCACTCAGTCCTGCCAGCTAGCACTGCACCCCTGTCATTCAGTCCAGAACCACTATACTAACACTCCAAACTGCACATACTGCACCCCATTATAGCCTGGGCATCCCAGCACCCCATATCAGCCTTTACTGCCTTCTTCACTCACTCATACCAAGCCCTGCAAGATAACACCCCGTCATTGCACCTCCTGCCAAACACCCCTACAGCACAAGACCACTATACCTACACTCCACATCTGCACAGATCTCACCCTATAATCCCACTAGCCAATTCCCATCACTGCATCCTATTGTCAGAGTACCATTATTGCACCCACTGCACCTTTATACAATATTTCTCACCCAGTGCCAGCCTCCCTGAACCTATCTCCTGTTCATATCCTTCCTGCCCCTCAAATATTCCCAATTTCTGACCCCTAGCCACTACTCACATAACCCCATTTCTGATCCAGCCCTTCTCTGACTACTTTGGACACATTGTATCCTTTCATTCTTCAAGGATAGAATATCTGAGCATTCAACATTTTTCATTTAGCACCCCCACATTTTGGGGGTTTATCCTTTAAATAAATTGGATGTTCATACTGTATTATTTTGGTCTCTGATCCCAAAGCCCCCTGTATGTCTCCACCTGTCACCATTTCACCTGCACCACATCTAGTCCCCATGGATGTCGCTGAGAATTGCTGACCCTACCATCACAACATACAATGGAGAGTGTTACTGTCCCCCAGGACAGGAGCTTTCATAGCCCCTTTCTGGAGCTGGAGGACTTCACAGAGGCGGATTTCATGAGCAATGTGGTAAGGACACAACGTGCATAGTGTGGGGGTATATTTATTGCTAGTGCGGCATATGACCTTATATACCATGATGCACCAGGAAATTAAATGCATATTCTATACAGTCGAGTTACAAAAAATAACTATTAACTAATTAGCTGTCAGGATGGCCCATACAACACTCTTCTGATTTACCCACTGCCATTGAGATTAGTAGCCCCTGTAACTAGTGAACCATACTGCCAATGAGTTTAATAGCCTCTGCAATATTGCCAATACGTTTAGTTTATACCCTGTATATAATAAACCTGGCCCCTCACTGCCAAAAATGATTAGGCTCTGTAATGAATGACCAGAACAGCATTACCAATATGTATTGTAGATGCTAACTAGTGCCCCACCATTGCCAATAAGTTTAATATCCTCTGTAATTAGTGACCCTACCATTGCCAATAATTTGGTAGCTCCATAACTTTGGATCCGCTAACTGCCTCTAAACAGTGCTGACCCCCCACTTAGTATAGCAGCCCCTGTAAATAGTGACTATTACTCTGCCAATGACTTTTATAGCCCATGTAATTAGTGACCTCCAACTGCAAATGGGTTTAGTATCCCCTGGAATCAGTGAGCTCCCCAATGCCAATGAATTTAGTTGCCCATGATATAACAAGTGACTCACCCCTCTCCCCCAATGTGCTTAGTAGCCCCTGAAATTAGGGTTCACGTCACTGCCAATGAGTTTATCAGAACCTGTAATTAGTGACCACCCACTGTCAGTGAGCTTTGTAGCCCCTATAATTAGAGACTACCCAAATTGTTAATGAAGTTAGTAGCCCCTCTAATTAGTGCTCCCCACAATAACCCACGATAAGACGCTGACATTGTGTTTGAATTGAATTGCATGCTCTTGGGTTTAGTTCTGTCATGTCTATTGTACTGGGAGCTGAAGGCTCAGTTACAGTAAGGCAGACCTGCCATCTCCAATTACAGAACATAAGCGTTTCCTCCTCAGTTTTCCGTTGGCAGTACCGTCTTCTCTATAATACATTTTAAATTGCAGGTTGTGCTATTGGCTTCTTACAGCAGCTCCAATCTAGCCCTTCCACAGCGGCTGGGACTTGTATTCTGGAAGAGATTGCTTTGTGGCACATTGAAATCAGTCTTTCAAAAAGCCTGCAGCTTGAAGTGTGATAAGGACTAATAGTTCTTCCTTCATATCACTCACTCTTTCTTTAACTATTGGGAACGTCCAAATGTCCATAGTTTTATGGCGGTGATTGCAAACTTTGGTAAACCAGATGACTGTAAACCATCCTGGCTACCAAGGGGTTAGCAATTCTATTAGGGGTAACCTACCTGTAGCAATCTAGTTGTTTAACTGCAAGTCCTATGATCCTCAGATGTTTATTGATTAAACAGTTAGTGTCAGTGAGCCGACAATTAAGTCAAATTTAGGCCGAGTTGGAATAAATTGTCTCTAGGCCTAAACTCTACAACTTGTTCTTCAATGTGTGAAAGCTCACTGTGCCCAGTGTATCTCTGACGTGTCATTATATGAGAACATCGCCTATAGGTGTGAATCTGTGATCCTAGGTTGGCAAGATTCGATGGATGTTGCAATCACAAATATGGGAAGCATGCTGCTGTCTGGATACATTATATTGCATTACTGTCTGATCCAAACACTTAACACTAGAGTTCCCATTTATATAGCTTTGTGCCACCGTTCTTGGATACCGCCAATGGATAAATGTTCATAGTGTTGAGTGTGCGTCATCAAACTCATTTAGATTTGATGATATTTATTGGAAATGTCATTGTCAGTATGGAATGTGGAAAACATCAAGCGACATTGGAGCTCTGCATTCGTAAGAGTGGAGTGTCAGAGCTTGTTTCAAGATTAAGCTACTTTTAATGACGCTGCAAGGGCTAGGGGATACTTAGGGTGAGGGTCTTACAGGATGATCGTAGGCTCTGAGGCCCCTGTCTAACCCTTGGACTCTAGGCAGTTGCCTATCGTCACCTGATGATTTGTCCCATTCTGCTACCTTCTCTTGATGCAGTGGACTACAATTCTCATGATGCCCAGTCATTGTAAGAAGACAAGGTTTATTTTGGCCCTTGTTGATGACTTGAACAGGTGACGCTAATGTTTAACTTGTCATTTTAAAGGAACACTCCACACACAATGTGCTTATAATGTTTGGAGTGAATATGGTGTCAAGGGGTGTGCTGGCACACGCCCTCCCCTATTGTAAGCTGTCAAACCATTTAAGAACTGTTTTATGGCTAAGGAGCGCAGGATCCAGTGCAGGGCTAGCTCATTGTCTGAGAACATCAGCTGATTGCTCTCAGCCAATGAGCTAAGCCCTGCACTGTTTCTTTATATACTGCTTGAAAATGTTAGGACTGCACCCATTGCCTCCTAGCACCATTACCACCGCAATAATCTATATGTTTAAACTGCATATATTGTGTTTGCTTGCCTTGACCATGTGGTAAAACATACAGCATTTGTGACCACCTAATAGGGTCTGCCAGTCAGGTGTCCTCTCTCCAGCACCACATGTGTCGTAGACATTAAATCGTAGCCTCCCAACCTTTCAAATGAATAACTAGAGACACTTTAAGTTGTTTTCGTAGCACTATAGTGGCCTACAATGCCATGGAGGCATATTCAGTAAAAGAATAAGCGGCACTTCTGCTGGGGCCAGACTTCATGTCCCATAAGCCTCTGGGAGACAAGAGATTGTGGACTTTGACAACATAGACCAGAATGAGTGTTTCTGATTGGTGGAGCCTCTTCTTAATCTTTGAAAGGGTCGGTACATTTCTCCCCCCTCCCTCCCCCACTTTTAAAACACATTATCATTAAGAAATGGACGCACCTCCAACATGGAGTTTTTTGCTTGGGTACATCTCTGTCTGAAGGTACATATGATGGTTGAAGTTGTAAACAATGAACACACAGAGCAGAGGTAGGCAACCCTTTAGTAGTATTGTGCCAAAACAAGATCTTAAAGTCCTTTGGCGTACCAGTACTATTTTCTCAAACCGAGGTGTACATGTTCCCGAATTCTACCTGTGTTATTTATGGGTACTGCAGTTGCTTTGTAGCGTTGTTTTTGTGCGTATATGGGCTGTTTGTGGTATTGTGTATGATACATATGCATGCAGGCTGTGTATAGGGGCTGCTTGTGGAATTGTGAGTGTGGGGGTATGTCACATTGTGTGTTCGGTGGTGTGTGTATGTGTGAGGCTATTTGGGTTATTGCATGTGAGAGGCTGCATGTGGGGTTGGGTGCGTGTATGTGGATTGTTAGTGGTGCTGTGTTTGTGTGTGGGCTGTTTGTATTATTTGTATAAGGAGGAGGATTATTCTGAAGCTCTGTCTTTATCTAGCAGAGTTTGTGGCTTCCCTGGGATCATAGGCGTGCGCAGCTTATTGCATTAGGGTGTGCACCCTAAATCACAAACACACGCCGCGTGTATATGTATGTGTGTGTGTGTGTGTGTGTGTGTGTGCACACACATACATACACTGCTGTGTGTGTGTGCTGCATGAGGGTGGTTTGAGGGTGTTGTTAGTCCTGTTAGTGTGCTGGTGCTGTGTGTGTGTTTGTGAGGGTGCTGTTTCTGTGCTGTGTGTGAGAGGGTGCTGTGTGTGAGAGGATGCTGTGTTTGAAAGGGTGCTGTGTGTGAGAGGGTGCTGTGTGTGAGAGGGTGCTGTATGTGTGGGCTAGGGTGCTGTGTGTGTGGGCTAGGGTGCTGTGTGTGTGCGAGGGTGCTGTATGTGTGCTGTATGTGTGAAGGTGCTGTGTGTGTGTGTGGGTGATGTGTGTGAAGTATGTGTGTGGGTGCTGTGTGTCTGTGTGGGTGTGTGTGCTGTATATGTGTGGATGAATGTGGGGGTGGAGGTGGGGGTACATTACTTAATATCCCCCCCTCCCTTCTTTGTAGGGAGGGGGGATCGTGCTGCTGCATTCCCTCGTGGTCCAGTGGAGAGTTCACTCTCGCGAGATCTGAGCGTTGCCGTGGCAACGCTCCGACCTCCCGAGAGGAACCTGGCGGAGCTGCTGGTTGAGCTCCCCGGGTCCTCTCCTGCCTCCCTCCATAGCGCCAGCTTTGCATGAGCCGACAGGGGAGATCCTGAGATCTCCCCTGCCGGTCTCAACAAATAGGCGTGCCCCGGGGGTTAGGGTGTGCCCAGGCACACCCGGCGCACACCTATGGTGTGTATGTATATGTGCATACATCTCAGCATTTCACCTACACTACACACAAATACAACCCTGCATCCAAATGTCAACCCTACATAAAAACACACCACCATAAAAAAAAAAAACCAGACTACAGAAAAATGCACTCCTGCATTCAAATGCCAATACGTGCAAACACACCCGTTCATTCACTCTCACATACGCCATACAAAAACATGCTTACATTCAAACACACAAACAGTGCTTGGTGCTAAATACATAAAAATAAAAACACTGCTCAGTGCTAAAGACATAAAAAATATTATATTTAAAAGAAGGAAAACTACCACGACAAGAGGACATAGTCTTAAATTAGGGGCAAAGGTTTAAAAATAATATCAGGAAGTATTACTTTACTGAGAGGGTAGTGGATGCATGGAATAGCCTTCAAGCTGAAGTGGTAGAGGGTAACACAGTAAAGGAGTTTAAGCATGCGTGGGATAGGCATAAGGCTATCCTAACTATAAGATAAGGCCAGGGACTAATGAAAGTATTTAGAAAATTGGGCAGACTAGATGGGCCGAATGGTTCTTATCTGCCGTCACATTCTATGTTTCTATGTTAAATGGATTACTAACGAGAGGAAGCAATGTTTAGTGCATGTGCCCTTCAATAGATAAGACTCATCCTCTTATAAAATGATGCACCATCTAAGATGTTTTACTTGTTCATCCTGAGTCCTTCAATGCTGCGCCATCATAGTAAACACAAATCACAGAATTTTAATTTATCAGCTCTATGTTGACGTACTTTTATGTGATTTAGAAAATGAAATAGATCAATTGTTCCCCACAGACAAACGAGCAATATTGTATCTAAACATCACAAATTCGTTAAAGGTGAGAGTCTGGAAGCCCAAAAGCTGTACCAAATAATATCCCTCAGTCTGACTTCAATAAGAAGAAAGATGGGTTGAGAAATATCCAACTACTTAACCTCCAATTCATGGAGACAAGCACGGTCAGAACAAGAATCGTTTAAATCAGAGACATTCATTCAAAGAGCTTCTTCCCAGCATATTTTTCTCATATCAGTTGTTTCATCTCCATAATGAAATCATGGCATGTGGTGTTCGGACTCTCAAAGTATCTATCTGCATTAAGATGTTCTATGATTCACATTATCCCAGATGACACTATTACTGTGTGAAACCAGAGGGTGAATCCTGGCACTGCAGCGGCTGATGGTGGTGAATCTCATTAATCTCAGCCAGTCAAAAGGCTTCAAACATTTAACTCAGAGACTTGGAGAGGTGATCTCTATGCGTTCAATGTTTGACCAAGTGGCCAAATTTAAGAGTGGAAAGTATCAGGGTGGATGGGAAGGTTATTTATCTCTCTGAGTGATTTGGATTAATACATTTAGTAAAGTTGAGGATTAGAATTGACCTACCTGCTAGCCTCTAGGTCAAGGGACAGCAGCCATGCATGGCTCTCAAGGCTGCCAGAGACAAACATTGGCCAAACAGGAGTCCCCGTGGAACGTCATATATCTGATAGTGTAAACTGAGTGGTGATTGCAGGTGGTGACGGACATTCCTGAATTTTACGCATTGAAGCACTTAGAGGAAGTGATCTCAGATTACTTCCTTTAATCACCTGTGAATGGGAATCTGCACTGGAGTAGAGCAGTCCACAGCAGTCATCGCAGCTCCTGCCACTGACCTGAACCTGGCGCCCGGTCTCCAATGGATCCCAGGCATAGGCGTGCGCACGGGGTGTGCCGGGTGTGCCTGGGCACACCCTAATCCCCGTGGCACGCCTATGGTTTGAGTCCTGCAGGAACAGCGTTCCTGCACTTTTTTTGAGCAGGAACGCTGTTCCTGCAGGCACTCAGTGCCCCCTGTTTCACCTCTTGCCCCTGTCATGGGGAGGGCAAGAGGTGATGGATTCCCACGCCCCACTCAGCGCGCGGCGTGGGAGCTCTCTGCTGTCGGCTCTCTGCTCCCTCTCGCCGCGCGCTGATGCCGGGAGCCGGAATATGACGTCATATTCCGGCTCCCAGCTGCAGCAGACAGCCCGCGCGGCGAGAGGGAGCAGAGAGCAGACAGCAGAGAGCTCCCACGCCGCGGCTCAGCTGGAGAAAGGCGCCTGCCCCCACTGGACCCCAGTGAAAAGTCCACCAGCACTCCAGGTAGGAGGCTGGGTGGACATTGTTTTTTAAAATTAAAATATAATAATTTGTGTGTGTGTGTGTGAGTATGTGTGTGTGTGTGAGTAGTGTGTGTGTGTCTGTGAGTGTGTGTGTGTCTGTGAGTGTGTGTGTGTCAGTGTGTGTGTGTTTCTGTGAGTGTGTGTCTGTGAGTGTGTATGTGTGTGTGTCAGTGTGTGTGTGTGTGATGTGTGTGTCTGTGAGTATGTATGTGTGTGTGTGTCTGTCAGTGTGTGTGTGTGTACGTATATATATATATATATATATATATATACACACACACACACACACACGCAGAGCCGGCGCTATCTGAGTGCCGGCTCTGCTCTAAGCCTTCATGGGCCGGCGGGGAGACCAAAGATCTACCTCACCGGCCCACAGCAGCATGGAGGGAGGCAGTAGAGGACCCAGGGAGCTCTAGACAGAAGCTCCGCCAGGTTCCTCTCGCGATATCTGAGCGTTGCTGCGGCAACGCTCAGATCTCGCGAGAGTTAACTCTAGCCCCGCAGGCTAGAGTTCACTCTCCACTGGACCACCAGGGATGGCACATGGCAGCAAGGATTTACTAATCTGCCAAATCCCTCCAAACATACAGCACACACACATACAGCACCTACACACATACAGCTCACACACACAGTACACTAACCGCACCCTCACAAACACACACAGCACCTTTAAAAAAAACACAACACCCTCACACACAGCACACTAACAGCACCCTCACAAACAGCACCCTCACAGGACAAACATACACACACAAACACCCTCACACACAAACAGCACAGTCACAAACACGCACCCTCACACACACATCACACTAACAGCACACAGCACACTAACAGCACACACAGCAGTGTGTGTGTGTGTGTGTTTATATATATATATATATATATATATATACATACACACACACACACACGCGCGTGGCGTGTGTTTGTGCTTTAGGGTGCACACCCTAATGCAATAGGCTGCGCACGCCTATGCTACAGACGCCGCGATCATTTCCGGTTAGACGCGAGCACTACGTCACTTCCGGTGTGACGCGGGTGCCGCGTCACTTCCGGTATGACGCGTGCGTGTCAGCAAACAGCCGGAACCAGGAAGTAAGCACACCAGGACATTATTTCTACATTAAGGAGGATATATAAACGGACTTATTAGACATGATACCACACTTCTGAAGAAGCCAACCTGGCGAAACGCGTTAAGTGGGACTACATTTTATGTTTTATAATATTTTATTTCTATTTAGCTTGTTTATATTAAAGTATACTTTTTAAAGTTACTTTTATATCCACTCCAATCTTTTATTTTACTTCCTGGATCCTGTATATCCTTGGTGGGGATTATACCACCCATGCTGTTTATACTAGAGCAGGATATATGCTCTAGAAATTGTAAGTACAATACTATTTAATATTGGTCATACCACTAGTACTTACTTCACCATATTGCTGCTATTTTTTCCTTTCATATTTACTACGCTCACTGCATTGTGGAAATATTCGTGGAAACTTCTACAAATCCAAAGACGGGGATTGTACCGTCCAGGCGTTCTTACAGCAGAGCTCTGTTATAGCTCATCCATATGTGAGTGGATTGAACTTAGCCTTATACTATCTGCTCTAAAGAATATATTTACTGTATTGCACTATTATTTGTTTCTTAATCTGTTCTCTTTGAGGTTACGATCCGTTTGGAATATTCAAGATATATGTATGTATATTTCACATATATAAATTAGGCGCGGTATACGTTTTTCTTTTTTCCACTATTCACTTACAAGGTTTGGGAATCCTTGTGTATATACTGCTGCCTGTTCACTATAGCGAGCGCCTATTATCTTCTTTTTTTCTATCAACACACTGACACATACAGGTACGCATATACCAACACACATACAGATACACAGACACACATGTATAAGTGTGTGTCTGTGTGTGTTTGTATAGTGAATGCAGTGTGTGTGCCTGTATAGTGGATAATGGTGTGAGGGAAGGGGTGATGGTGCGGGGGTGAAGTGAGAGGGAGCTCAGGAGGGGGGGTGAGAATGAGAGGGAGAGGGTGATTGTGAGACAGTGAGAGGGAGGGGGTGATGAGGGAGAGGGGGGAGGGTGATGAGGGGGGTGATTGTGAGAGGCGGGGTGATTGTGAGGGGGAGGGGGGTGATTGTGGGGGGTGATGAGGAGGGGATGCTGATGAGAGGGGTAATGAGGGGGGGGTGATGAGGAGGGGTGATGAGGAGAGGGGGTTGATGAGGTGAGGGTGGTAGGTGGGTGATGGTGTGGGGGTGAAGTTAGAGGGACGGGCCATAGTGGGGGGTGATGAGGGAGGGATGATTGTGAGGGGGGAGGGTGATTGTGATTGTGAGGGGGTGATTGTGAGGGGTGATGGGGAGAGGGAGGGGGGTGAGGGTGATGGGGAGGGAGGGTGATGGGGAGAAGGAGGTGGGTGGGTGATAGTGTGGGGGGTGAAGTGAGAGGAAGGGGGTCATAGTGCTCCCCCCCACATACACACTGCCCTTGCCCAGACACATACTGCCCCCCATACACAAACACATTACCCCCATACACACAATTGCCTACCAAAAACACACACTGCCCCTAAACACACAATTACCCCCCATACACACAATTGCCCCCGTACATACACACTCTGCCCCCATACACACACACACATTGACCCTCCATACACACACACACTGTACCCCTCACACACTGCCCTACACACATTGTACCTCTCACACAACTTGCCCCCCCACACACTGTACCTCTCACAAATACACTGTACCTGTCATAAAACCTGCCCCCACACACACACCACCCCCCATACACTGCCCCACACACATTGTACCACTCACACAACTTGCCCCCACACACACTGTACCTCTCACAAACACACTGTACCCGTCATACAACCTGCCCCCACTCACACACGCCCCCCCCCACACTGTACCCCTCACGCACAAGCTGCCCCACATACACACACACTGCATGCCTCACACACGTGCACACTGCACCCCTCACACACACATACTCCTCACAAACTACTGCCCCTATCTCCTTCTGTAGCCCTTATCCCAGCAGATCTCAGGTAAGTTGTCAAACACTGCTTAAACAGTTTGACTACTTACTCTGGGAGGGCACAATGGCACTACTGGCACCATAACCCATACAAAGTGATTATTGTGCCTGGATTGTTTCTTTAAATAATCTAGCAGTGCCCCTCCCATGATTAGGTTCTGGATCTGCGCTTGAATGGCAAGCATTACTGCCGAACAGGGGCCCAGTATATGCCACTGCGCTGTACATATATACAACCTAGAACATTTTATGACTTTGGGCGCTTTGGAAAAATATTAAATTATTAAGGGCACTTGAACCGAAAAAGTTTTGGAATCACTGCTGTAATCCATGAATCTGTTTAGTAGCCCTTCCCTGAACTCTCCAAAGTATCGATATCCTTCTGAAGATACGGTCTCCAGTACTGCGTACAATACTCCAAGTGAGGTCTCACCAGTGTTCTGTACAATGGCATGAGCACTTCCCTCTTTCTACTGCTAATACCTCTCCCTATACAACCAAGCATTCTGCTAGCATTTCCTGCTGGTCTATTACATTGTCTGCCTACCTTTAAGTCATCAGAAATAATCACCCCTAAATCCCTTTCCTCAGATGTTGAGGTTAGGACTCTATCAAATATTCTGTACTCTGCCCTCGGGTTTTTACGTCCAAGATGCATTATCTTGCACTTATCCACATTAAATGTCAGTTACCACAATTCTGACCATGTTTCCAGTTTACCTAAATCATTTGCCATTGTAACCAGTAAGATATCACTTGATAAATACTGTTCTGTTTGAAATTCTTTTTGACTGAAGATGACTGGTGTTCACTAATGACAACCTCATATTATTCATAAATATCTCCTACGTTTCTAAGTAAGTTATAGTGAAGTCCCACTTATGCCAAAGGTTCGTTTTGTTTAGGTTATGCTTGGGATTGCTGTCAATTTATTCTTGTTGGTGGACAGTTTCTTTGAAGACCTTGCTAATATTGTTGAGTTTGTGTTTAGCCTTCACAAGGTTACTGTTTAGTCTTCTTGAGTTTCTGTTTAGTATGCACAAGCTTTTAATTTAGTCTTGTTGAGTTCAAGGATAGCCTTCACTAGCCTGGACTTTATTCTTGCTTAAGTTAAGCTCTAACTTTGTTGAATTTAAATTTAAACCTGCTTGAGGCTGAGAATTATATTTTCACTGGATTTTGCCTGGCCAATTATGAAAATACAAATTCTCAGGAGTTAATATCTATGTATTATTGCTCTCTTACTGTGTCTAGTTTTCAATGACCATGGTTTAGCCTAACCTGGTTGGGGGTTCCTTTATGTAGTATTAGTCATTGGAGCTACGACTGACCTATTTGTAGACTCTTGAGTTACTTTTAGAAAACTGAATTGCTATCAGTCTCATATGATCACATATTTTGGACTGGGGTAAATATTTGACTGACAACCTGCCTATTTGGGGGTCATTTTCAAAAACGTGTGTCGAACTGTTACATCTGGACTTACTGACTGATTAGTCCTGCAAGTTGTGTAAGGACTCTCTAGTCAAAGGTGGTGTCAATGGATTCATGTTAGAGTCATCAGACTTCGTATTAAAAATTATAGATCATTCTCCAAAGTCACGTCTAATGGATTTAGATTAGGTTAGCTTTGGTGATTGGGGTGCCAGTAATGTATTAAAGGTCAGTTCCACAAATGTCTGTGTTCGTCCTACTGATTGGGAATTGAAATGAATATAATTGATTAGCGTTTTTTGTTTGGATGCCTAATGTCACTGACTGGGGATAAGTTTAACCAGACATTATATTGATGTTCTAATATACAAAATATACAGGGAACCAGCTGTGTTTTAGCACATAAAGGGTGACACCCCCTAAATCTGGGGTGCCAATATCCCCTCTGAGAACTCTGTTGCACTTGCTATAACAGCTAGACGGTGTAGTAAAAAACAGTAACTCCAGCAGGGCTTAATGTAAAAGTGGCTTTATTTAAAAATATAAATAAATAAAAAATTGAGGTTCTATGCATTTTCTCCCATTCGGAACTTCCTCAGTGGCCAATTTTAAAACGCATGTACAGTACAAATAGCAGAGTCCCACTTTAAATTGCCACCTATTCGACCTCATTGGTCCTCCTGGGGGTGTGTACATCTTGAATGGATGGCTTCCCTCACAGCTGTATCTGGTAAAAGGAGTTCTCCTGGGCATGCGCCGACTCCTACACAACCCTGCTGGGTTCTAGGTTTAAGCTGGCTCTCTCTCTATTTTTTGTTTACTAGATTGTCATATAGGAGGGAGACTTACTGGGAGGGCTCCTTTGGGGAAGCTGTAACATATTCCCACACCAGTAAAGTATTTGGTTATATTGGTGGTGGGAATAATTTATATTTACATTTATTTTTGTGCAGATATCTTGATGTGTACTGGCCCCAATGACAGATCAGGTATTGGCCTGATTCTCAATGATTTTAATTGCCACTAGCTGGCCCAGAACACTGATAGGGTCCAGTCTTTTGCTCATGTTGGTTGTAGCCAGTTCCACTATAGGAGGACAGAGGGGGTCTTGACAGGGCTTGGAGGCGGGCTTAGGTGGAGCACGGGTTGGTGATTGACAGATCTGGATATAAATGTCGGCCATTTTATAACACCTCATTACTAATTGACTTACCAGGCTGAATTGGTCCCTCCCTTCCTTTAGTGTTGGGTTTTATTCTACCCGCTTGGTCACAGCGGCGGTCTAGTGGAAGGAATGTTAAAGGGGTAATGGGCCTGCTTAAGGAAGCGTAGAGCAAGAGTAGTGAGTTGGCTGTTTTCAGTATGGACTGGTTACCTGTTGGTAAGATGTTGGTGGTTTCGAGCTTGGTGGTAGCTCAGAACCCAGGTGGTGTAGGGGTATCAAGGTATACCCCTGCCAGGATCGGGTGGAAAATGTTGGATCTTGTTTTTTTATACTTATGGATTGTTATACAATGTTATGTTATATATGATGGGTCATTGCCTTGCGAATTGATATGTGGAAAATGATAATGATGGATGTCTGAGGATGTGGGGGTGGGCAATAACTTTATGTTATTTATATATTATCGTTATTATTATATATTTTGAATAAAAGCTGTGGACATATTGACCCATACCCTAAAGTGTCCGTGTTTCATTGGTGTGGGTTGGGAAAAAGGTAACGGTCAGCTCCTCCAGTCCATATTTGTGTCTGTGACAATGCACCTGTCAAGACATCGAGAAACCCTACAAACAAAAAGTCTGCAGACCTCAATTTTAGCAGCCTGAAACAGGACGTTAAATGTTGCAAAAACTCAAGACTTGATGTATAGAACCCCAAGGGTGAAGGGAGGCGGATTCTGTAAGGAGATGGGAAATCAGGGATAGAAAACAACATTTTCTAAATATTTAGCCTAGTTAAAATGGAACAAACTAGGGCGCTAACATTCTATGGCCTCGATTTAATATTTTTGGGTAAGCTTTTCAAATGATTTTATGTTTCTGGATCAACTTTTAAAATTAGTTTTTCAAAAAAAATAAAAGATTGAGACCAAGTGTTTATAGATTTGGTTCTATAGAACTCGGAACCCAGACTTGACATTTAATACAATACCAGCTCCATTTTGCATGTGTTTATCGTAAAAGTGAGTTTGAATGTTGCCATATGAACTAGTTTTGTCTGCCTTGTGTTAACTCACCCCGGATTACGTTCATCACAAGTTTGACACTCACAAATTCACAATAAACATTGTGATAGAATATTCGTTTTTCAAAGCCTTGTCTCTTTGCAAATGCAAACGCAAACGATGGACAATAGTTCAATGCCATCTTCACAAACCTTATCAGGGTGTGTAAGAGTATGTAAGCGTCTGCAGAAGGAGATGTAGCCGGTAATTATACTATTGTAACGGCATGTCAGTTAGGCATCTAATCCCTGATGTATCAATATAAATAGTGCTGAAATGACGCTCTGACATTTTAAAGAGTACATTGTAGCATTGGCTATTTATTCTGCCTACCTTTTTACCATTATAAATGCGAACTCTCGATTATTCAGATTTACTGGTGGGATTACAGAAAAAGCATAACAGCTGAATAAATCTTCCTTGTCTAAATGTTCAAAATGCCTTTGCCTTAGCCGTAATCTGTTTGAATACATTTAAAATGTTGACGTAGAAGGCACATTCTAAATGTCTCTGAGAAATAGGACTTGCAATTATGAGGCTGCGGGTGCTTGACCCAAGCGTCCTTAAAAGGCCTCACAAAATATGGCGTTAAAAAGGTCGCCATTAAGGGAAAAGCCAGGATTGATAAAGGTATTTGGGGGATCGTTAGTGTTGGGGTAGCTTAGTTTACAAGGACTTAGTGAGTGTTTATGGTTAGGTGGCGGGCTAAGGAGTTATATCCAGAGATACTTGTACAACCTAGCCCTAAATCCCATTTAACCCTAAGCTGCATACTTCTGACCCCACTCAAACCCTACGGAACCAGTACCGCAGACATCCTTTTTATTGTCCCATTTGCTTTGTGATAGCCCAAACCCTCAGATTGATAGACTACATCTTCCCCAATTCTTAAACAGGCAAAGAGTAATGGGAGTTGTAATCCAACAACCTTTGAGGGGACAGAGTTTGACAACCCTGATTGAATGATGATGTGTTCCACGGACCCCAGCTTTATTATTGTCTCATGCTTTTTTTATCCGTAGCTTTTTAAATTAACTTTTTTTAAATTCATGGTTTTTACAATAAACCAACTAGTTTCTTCCATTCCCCCATGCAGCACTGGGCCGAACCTCACATTCTGCATACATCCTGACCAAACGGCTGTGTTCAGACAGGACTGACGGAAAGGAAGTGATTAAGGCATAATATTTACAGTCAGTTATAGGAGTTTGCTGTGGGTGTGTGTGTGTGTGGGGGGGGGGGAGTTCTTACGGAGAGGAACGCCAGAAAATCGACTTACAGGGGTTTATTTGCCAAACACTGAAATGTAGTGAACCAAATTGGAAAATGTAGCCATAAATAGCTGATCAGAAAAAAATATCCAACACAACTACAATAACAGTTTGACTATTTTAGCCTAAATGTGGTTATCATATTTTTACTACTTAGCGAATAAGCACCAGACTGTTATTATTTGCAGTGGCGGGGGTCCTATACTGGTCACTAATTGAGTTGCTTATTTAGGGTTTAGTTCTTAACTCACTGCTCTCCCTTGAGCTATAGCTCAGTCTCTGATTCACCACCTCCTACAGCTTTGGGGTCTGTCTCTGAATCATCCTCCCCCCACCCCCCCCCCCCGCTACTCTGTGCAAAGTTGGGGGTCAGTCTATGACTCATTGTACTGAAATTTCCCCCTATGTCAGGTAATACAGACATTATATCCTGGGAAATATACACTCTCCTTGTAAACCTTAGTAAATGTTTCTTCTAATCTAATCTTCACATGTACATTTTCTTTCTCATTTTTTTTCTCTCTCACCCTTTTCTCTCCGTCTCTTTCTTTCTGCCCCTCCCTTCTTTGTATTCTCTTTTATTTTTCCTTTCCCTCACTACTGACATTTTCCATCCTGGTTCGCATATCCTGGAGCCGTCCAAGTGCCTTGTTTAAATGCAAACAGCAGGCAGAGGTGAAGGCGCTGTGTTCTAGTAGTGTGCGTTGTGGGTGAGGAGTGTCTGCCTGTGTGTTTGTAAGTTATAAGTTATTTAATAAAGTGTTGGAATTTCAAATTTTATATTGAAAAAGCCAAGTGAGAAAAGAAAATATCTTCACGTCAGTTTTATTTTTCATTTAATATTTTAGTGTAAAACTTCACTTTAAAATCGTTTTCCTAGCACTATAGTAGCCTGTAGTCTCAGCCGATGTCACAGCCGTCAATGCTTTCCTATGGGGTTTTAGCCAACGCTGGATTTCCTCATGCAGAACTTGAGGACGTCCAGCGTCAGGTGACCAGAATTCACCTAACGACCTGGAAGAGCATCTACTGGTTGATCAATAACAGAGATAAACTGACAGGGACTCTGCACCCAGACCACTTCAATGAGCTGAAGTGGTCTGGGTGCCTATAGTGTCCCTTTAAAGTCCCAACAATTCAAACATTGGTTATTAGCGCTGCAATCAGACAGCCAAACGTTGGGCCTAAAATATCTCAGCACAAGATGCTAGGGTTGCCAACTCCACCATCTTTTCCTGGACACATCGTTAATACGTATTGATGGGCAGCACTTGGAAATGTTACTCAAATGTTTTGCTTGGCCAATCTGTAATTGTGAGAATTCATGGTGAATTGCAAATGTAAGGCCAGAGTAGCTGAATGGAAAGCATAGCTGAATTAGATTCTTTTTTTTTCCAGTTCTGTTTGACTTTAAGTTTGACATTCCGTTTGAATTCAATTTGAATCCCCTGTTTAGTGAATTACCTTGCAAATGATTAATTAATAACAAAGGTATTCACTCACAAGGTGAGAATTGCAGGGAATGCAGAGTGAATTGAAAGTGAATTTCAAATTGAAGACCAAAGTAGCCCAACTAAGAGCATACGTGACTGGGAGAATTCATCCAATTCAGTTATTTTAAACTTAAATTTGAAATTCACTTTGAATGTGCTTTGAATTTTCTGCAATTCTCACGTCAGCTCCTTGACTTGAAGTATTGATGGTGGATCCATATCTGCATATTCCTTTACATAACTGGCCCTATTTGGGCTTAAATCCATCTGCCTCCCCCTTCTATCCTGTATTTTTTTATTTATTTATATATAACTGGTATTTATAAAGAGCAAAACATATTTTGCAGCGCTGTACAATGGGGAAAAAAGACAATAAGAACAGACCGATACAACAGGTAGAGGGCCCGCCCGTGAGCTTACAATCTAAAGGTAAACTGTGGAGGTGAGACAAAAGGTAACAGAGGAATTTGTATGACATTGCATAGAGAGTTAATGGTATCACTGTAGCAGCTAATAGCATGTGATGCCCCTCTTTTCCAGGAGCTCCAGACTGTTGGTGTGTATAACAGAGCTCCACAGCAGTAATACTCCCAGTAATGTGAGTGTATAACAGAGCTCCACAGCAGTAATACTCCCAGTAATGTGAGTGTATAACAGAGCTCCACAGCAGTAATACTCCCAGTAATGTGAGTGTATAACAGAGCTCCACAGTAATAATACTCCCAGTAATGTGTCTGAGTGTATAACAGAGCTCCCAGTAATGTGTGAGTGTATAACAGAGCCCCACAGCAATAATACTCCCAGTAATGTGGCTGAGTGTATAACAGAGCTCCACAGCAATAATACTCCCAGTAATGTGTCTGAGTGTATAACAGAGCTCCACAGCAATAATACTCCCAGTAATGTGTCTGAGTGTATAACAGAGCTCCACAGTAATAATACTCCCAGTAATGTGTCTGAGTGTATAACAGAGCTCCACAGCAATAATACTCCCAGTAATGTGTCTGAGTGTATAACAGAGCTCCACAGCAATAATACTCCCAGTAATGTGTCTGAGTGTATAACAGAGCTCCACAGCAATAATACTCCCAGTAATGTGTCTGAGTGTATAACAGAGCTCCACAGCAATAATACTCCCAGTAATGTGTCTGAGTGTATAACAGAGCTCCACAGCAGTAATACTCCCAGTAATGTGTCTGAGTGTATAACAGAGCTCCACAGCAATAATACTCCCAGTAATGTGTCTGAGTGTATAACAGAGCTCCACAGCAATAATACTCCCAGTAATGTGTCTGAGTGTATAACAGAGCTCCACAGCAATAATACTCCCAGTAATGTGTCTGAGTGTATAACAGAGCTCCACAGCAATAATACTCCCAGTAATGTGTCTGAGTGTATAACAGAGCTCCACAGCAATAATACTCCCAGTAATGTGTCTGAGTGTATAACAGAGCTCCACAGCAATAATACTCCCAGTAATGTGTCTGAGTGTATAACAGAGCTCCACAGCAATAATACTCCCAGTAATGTGTCTGAGTGTATAACAAGCTCCACAGCAATAATACTCCCAGTAATGTGTCTGAGTGTATAACAGAGCTCCACAGCAATAATACTCCCAGTAATGTGTCTGAGTGTATAACAGAGCTCCACAGTAATAATACTCCCAGTAATGTGTCTGAGTGTATAACAGAGCTCCACAGCAATAATACTCCCAGTAATGTGTCTGAGTGTATAACAGAGCTCCACAGCAATAATACTCCCAGTAATGTGTCTGAGTGTATAACAGAGCTCTACAGCAATAATACTCCCAGTAATGTGTCTGAGTGTATAACAGAGCTCCACAGCAATAATACTCCCAGTAATGTGTCTGAGTGTATAACAGAGCTCCACAGCAATAATACTCCCAGTAATGTGTCTGAGTGTATAACAGAGCTCCACAGCAATAATACTCCCAGTAATGTGTCTGAGTGTATAACAGAGCTCCACAGCAATAATACTCCCAGTAATGTGTCTGAGTGTATAACAGAGCTCCACAGCAATAATACTCCCAGTAATGTGTCTGAGTGTATAACAGAGCTCCACAGCAATAATACTCCCAGTAATGTGTCTGAGTGTATAACAGAGCTCCACAGCAATAATACTCCCAGTAATGTCTGAGTGTATAACGAAGCTCCACAGTAATAATACTCCCAGTAATGTGTCTGAGTGTATAACAGAGCTGCACAGCAATAATACTCCCAGTAATGTGTCTGAGTGTATAACAGAGCTCCACAGCAATAATACTCCCAGTAATGTGTCTGAGGGTATAACAGAGCTCCACAGCAATAATACTCCCAGTAATGTGTCTACAATAAATGTGTTTAGAAATCAGTCTGTGTGAATAAGAAACATTGTTCTTGTTCTGAACATTGTGTTGTATAAATTCACCTGATATTTCACAGAACAGCCCCACCCCTTGTTACACCCCCACTCACACCCCTGAAATTAAAGTTTCCCTCTTAGTCTGTTTAAAATAAATGTTGGGAGGTATGAAGGATCTGACACAAAATGTCCTATTGTTTCTTGTTTTGTTTAGAGTTTCTGCAGCTGACAGACACAGATAAATGATCTGTTCAATAGCATCTTGTTGGCCTAAAACCCAGGATTTCCCTGTGACTCAGACAAACAAAAAAATGGACAGCGCACAAGACATTCAAACTCTTCCATATGGACCGTAGACCATTACATACGCTCATATCTCTCTGTTCTTTTTGCTGGCTTGCAACTCTTCTTTGGCAGCTATAATCAGCCGTGCTCCAACTTGTCATTTTTATTGTTCTGCTTTCACGGCCACTCACATCACTCTCAGCCAGCCGAGCTAGCCGAGAGTGATCGGAGTTCCAGCACAGCTAAAGAGCAGTCAGTGATTGGCTAGTTTTGTTTTAGTGTCTTTGAGTTTGTGTGTGACTGCAATTCTAGGTATGTCACATTTCGGCAGCGTTCGTAGAAAGCACTGCAGGCTGTTATAGCTCCTCGGGTGTAATATTTGTATAGACACGCATCAACCTGGCCGGCAAACGAAGCTGAGGTCTCCAATCCAGAATCAAAAAAATTTGTAGTAGCGTTGCAATACAATTGATGCCATAAATATATTGTTATCGACGAAGACCTAGTCTGGAGAACAAATGTTGCCAAGTGCCCTTTTGTGTCGATGGAATAGGTATCCTAATTGTCCCCAGTCTGGTGGAGCTGCTATTAATTTTGTATTTTTTCCCCCCATATTAGAGGGGAGGATCTTGGGAGATTTTATAGTGTTTATGGTTTGTATTTTTACTTTGTGTTTTGGTCTGTTTACAATCTTTTTCAATGGGCAGAAGGACTTGTAAACTTTGCAAATCCTAGAATCGGCTTCATCATAATCATTGTTGTAAAAAAATAAATTTAAAAAAAGCCTTTGCACCTATAAGTCAGTATAGGAAAAGGATAAGAGACAGAAACAGTGTTTCTATTTGTCTACCTCATTTGCATTGTGTGCCCTCGCTGTGCCTAGACTTAACTGGAATGTGATTTGCTAAATCTTTAATACAATTCTAAAAGAAAACAGAGCATTGACATGCATTCTTATTTTTATTTTATTTTTAAATTTATTCCATGGTGTAATATCCAGATAAACGACAGTCCCCTTTTACAGTGCTATAAATTATTGAAAGTCTTGTATCTTTATGAAAAGTTATGGAAAACCTTCTTTTTCCGATCATCTTCAGTGGGTCAAAATGGGTCTTGGGGACTTGTCTTGTTTTATTTGGCCACCATCGGTGTTTGGGAAGTTATTCAAACTTGCTGCTTCCGTCTGTTTGTTTTTATGGGTGTCCTCGGGATTTAAACACTGTAATTCTTTTTCAGGTCAGTGGGATAACACAAACAGCCACTTACTGGCGGCCTTTACTCAACCAGCAAGTCTCTTTCATGTTCCTTCACAATAGTATGGTGGCAATGTGTCTTTTTTAATGTTGTCAGTGGAATGATTGCTTTTCTGTAGAAATTAGAGAATCTCGTTTCACCGTGTGTCTCAGGTCTCTCCCATTTCAGTTCCCCCTCCCCTTAACTGGCCCTGCTGCAGTCACAAGCTCACTGTTCCCAGGGGCTCTCTCCCTTAAAGGGACACAACAGGCACCCAGATCACTTCATCTCAATGAAGTGGTTTGGGTGATGTGTCACTCCCGTTTTTAACTCTGCAATGTAAAATATTGCTGTTCTGCACGAATGACAATTTTTACATTGGAGGGTTTAAATGCTTCTAATGGCTGTCACACTGACCGCCACTAGAGGTGCCTTCACACAAATATATTTTCAATTAGATCAGTGGTTCCCAACCAAGTCCTCAAGTACCTCCTACCAGTCCAGGATTTAGGGAAAACCCAGTGGTGTCTAAGGTGTTTTTAGAAAGGGAAAAAAACCCACTTTAGACACACCAGGGTAATCCCTAAATCCTGGACTGGTAGGGGGTACTTGAGTACTGGGCTGGGGACTCTTGAACTAGAGGCTTTCATAGAGACCACTTGATTGCCTCATTATCCTCCCCATGCTTTCCTATAGGAAGGCATCAGAATGGGATACAATTTGTACCATTTGTATTCCTAATGCTATAGGGTTCCTTTTAGTTAAACACTCACGTTTTGGCGCTCACAATCCTGTCAAAGATGAGTTAGCAAAACTTTAATGGAATGTTTAGCAGAGTCAACATAAAAAAAAGACTAAAAACTACTTGATCCTGTCAGCTAATGGGCTGGTTATACGCAGCAGAGCTTAGCTCAGGAGAACTGACCACGGGCCCCCAGTAAGCTTCAAACTGTTATCAGTTTGACTAAATTACATTAACGGGTGCCAGGGCACTCCTTGCTCCATACCCACGACAGTGCACTGTTGTGATTATGGTACTTAGTGTTTCTCTAATACAGTACCAAATAAGCACTGTAACCAAATTTATTACGTGATAACAGAACAGATACATTGCCTTTTCCAGTATTGTGTACATGTGTAATATCCATATATAACATAATAGGTTGATTACACACCTCTCACATATTAGCAACATCATTTCACTTGGCTGTCATTGAACTCATTTACCCGAATAATCAGAAGTGTATGCAGTTAAACAGCATAGGGATGCACAGTCCATTGCCTGCCAATGTCTTTCTAAAGCTTCATATGTAATTTACATTCAATTAACGGAGAAGGAGATGAGAACTTCTAAAGTAAACACATCATGCTGTAAGATCATTTTGAAAACTAAAACATTTTTAATGGAGGCTGTTGTGGTCACAGCCAGGGGAGGTGTGGCTAGGAATGTATAAATTGAAACAAAATCAATTTGACTCCTGAATGACAGAGAATTGAGCAGTAAGAAACTGCTTCATTAAAGGACCACTATAGGCACCCAGACCACTTTAGCTCACTGAAGTGGTCTGGGTGCCAGGTCCATCTAGGGTTAACCCTGCAGCTGTAAACATAGCAATTTCAGAGAAACTGCTATGTTTACATTAGGGTTAATCCAGCCTCTAGTGGCTGTCTCAATGACAGCCGCTAGAGGCGCTTCTGCGCTTCTCCGTGTGATTTTTCTCAGTGAGAAGGCGCTGACGTCCATAGGAAAGCATTGAGAAATACTTTCCTATGGACTGATTGAATGCGCGCATCGGAAGAGGGAGGAGAATCCTCAGCGCCAAGGGAGCCTGGCGCTGGAGAAAGGTAAGTGTTTAACCCTTTAACCCCTCTTGAACCCGGCGGGAGGAAGGCCATGAGTGTGGGGGGGACCTATTAACACTATAGTGCCAGGAAAACGAGTTTGTTTTCCTGGCACTATAGTGGTCCTTTAAGCTAAAGTTGTTTGGGTGCTCAGGGTACCCCTTTAATTTTGCGTTATTATCGAACTTGACGAGCATTACCATCAGTAAAATGGTTTGTGATCACATTAATAAGTGTAGAGCGATACCAGCCAAAAGTCAGAAAAGAAGTGATGCTGGATTGCAATTTACAGTTATCTCTTTTCCATAGCTCTGGTCTCGCTGCTATATCTGTATCACCCCTGTCTCCCCATGTCTCTATTTTATCTGAATGTCTCTCTTTCTGTTTTGTGTCCCTGGGTCTCCTCTCACCCCATATCTCAGGCTGTGCGCTGGATATACACATTGCTCTGGTTAGAAGAGCTGGACCTTTCTAAGCTTTGAGCAGCTGCTCCTTTGATTTGATGCCAGTTGGACCTGCCACCCGTGTCTGCCTCATATTGCTCTCTCCAGCCGGGAGACATCTTTCCAATTCCTCTTACTTTTGAACTTTGGGAGATTTGTGTCCCGGAAACCTGCCATTCAAACGTATTTCTCCCTCCCAAATTGATCGTTTAATTATTTATACTGTGCTGACATTGTCTGCTTGCTTTTCTTATATGACGTGTGGACTGCATTATGTACTTGCAGGCTTATTTACTAACGTGACAATTCAAAGTAAATCTCAAATTTAAGGTGCAAGAACAGAAAATGAGCTTAGAGAATTCTTCCTGTTGGGCTAGTTTTTTAAATCTGTTTTGTATGGCCAGAGCATAACATAGCTGTGCTGTACATCAAGTGTGCATGGTATGGCTGTACTTTACAAACTGCAGGATGTACTATGATTCTGGTGTACACAGTATGAGCGGGGCTTTATTCCTGGTGTACACAGTATGAGCATGACTTTATTCCTGGTGTACACAGTATGAGCATGGCTTTATTCCTGGTGTACACAGTATGAGCAGGGCTTTATTCCTGGTGTACACAGTATGAGCATGACTTTATTCCTGGTGTACACAGTATGAGCATGGCTTTATTCCTGGTGTACACAGTATGAGCAGGGCTTTATTCCTGGTGTACACAGTATGAGCATGACTTTATTCCTGGTGTACACAGTATGAGCATGGCTTTATTCCTGGTGTACACAGTATGAGCAGGGCTTTATTCCTGGTGTACACAGTATGAGCATGCTTTATTCCTGGTGTACACAGTATGAGCATGGCTTTATTCCTGGTGTACACAGTATGAGCAGGGCTTTATTCCTGGTGTACACAGTATGAGCAGGGCTTTATTCCTGGTGTACACAGTATGAGCAGGGCTTTATTCCTGGTGTACACAGTATGAGCAGGGCTTTATTCCTGGTGTACACAGTATGAGCAGGGCTTTATTCCTGGTGTACACAGTATGAGCAGGGCTTTATTCCTGGTGTACACAGTATGAGCAGGGCTTTATTCCTGGTGTACACAGTATGAGCAGGGCTTTATTCCTGGTGTACACAGTATGAGCAGGGCTTCATACCTGGTGTACACCGTATGAGCAGGGCTTTATTCCTGGTGTACACAGTATGAGCAGGGCTTCATACCTGGTGTACACCGTATGAGCAGGGCTTCATACCTGGTGTACACCGTATGAGCAGAGCTTCATACCTGGTGTACACCGTATGAGCAGGGCTTCATACCTGGTGTACACCGTATGAGCAGGGCTTCATACCTGGTGTACACCGTATGAGCAGGGCTTCATACCTGGTGTACACCGTATGAGCAGGGCTTCATACCTGGTGTACACCGTATGAGCAGGGCTTCATACCTGGTGTACACCGTGTGAGCAGGGCTTCATACCTGGTGTACACCGTATGAGCAGGGCTTCATACCTGGTGTACACCGTATGAGCAGGGCTTTATTCCTGGTGTGCACAGTGTGAGTAATGCATTATTACTGGGGAACACTGTATGAACAGAGGTTTATTCCCGCTGCACACAGCATGAGCTAAGCTATATCCCAGGTGTGCGCAGTGTGTGCTGTGTCCAACCACTGTGCGCACAGTGTGAACTGTTCTACATTCCTGTTGCACACAATATGTGCTGAGCTGTGCTCTGCTTCTAGTGTACGTAATGGGGGCTGGGCTTTACTGGTGCACACAGTGTAGGCTGTGCTTTAACCCAACTATGATAAAGCATGATGCACACCTGTTGCACGCAGCGTGGGCTGTAGTTTAACCCTAGTGCACTTTCTGTGATATATACTGTTTTCTGAGTGCATACAGCATTGATATTTCTGGGCGTCCTGTGTACAGTATTTAATGTGCTTATTATATGGGCTTTGCTGTACCCACAGTGTACGCATGTTAAAATGTGAGTATTCTTGGTAAGCACACACTGATTAGACTGACATTCTGTGCTGCACTCTCGTTGCACATACCAAGTGATGTGCTCTTCTGACTCACCAATAGAAGTGACTGCTCCATTCTTACCCTGCACTCCTGGCTTCTGCAGCCAAACATATAACTCCTCTAACGTTTTCCTGGTTTGCCTACTCCTCTCCCATTTGCTTGGGACTGTCACTAACCAGCCAATCCAGCTTCCAGGTCTCCTGCCGGCTCTCCTAAAGAATTAACCAATTCCTCACCTTCCATGTACCTCGAACAAAGTGTTCTGTACCGTGAAGTAGAAGTACTGTTTATTACATATGGGTTCCGTTATGTACATGTGTGTGTTGTAAAAATTCAAATATCCCCTTTAGATGTAATCTATTAAACTCTGCGTTCTGGAGGGAGGCTGTCTGAATCCAATTGTTATGTAATACTAGATTTGCCAGATCTTTCTCTTACTAAGGAATATGGATAAAAGAGTGCATGCTGCCCGGTGGTATTATATCTTGTACCTGGCTGAAGAGTTCATTTTCCACAATTGTCACAATTAATCCTTTGGGTGCCATTGGTGTGAGAATGACTTTGCAAAGTAGTAATAGATTGTGTGCCAGAAGAGCTGAGCAAAATGTGCAGGTTTAGAGTATTTTTGGAAAATTCTATCACTTGCACTCAGTTAATATGTAGCTCACCAGCTATTGTGCAATTATAACTCGTGTAAACCTTAACCAGCCGCAAATGAAATTATTTCCGTTTAACTTGATTACAGAGCATTGTAAAACATGTAGTCCTACCCCAATGGAGGGAGACCTGCAGTGTAACCTAGAGCTGTTTGAATTCTGATTTAACCCTTTGAATACCCAAGGTATACCCAATTCATTGTGTGAGACCTCTGGCACTCAGATAATCCAGGTGCATAATCAAGGCCTGTTTGTCTATTCCACTGCAGATGTTTTGGACTACACCTCCCACGATGCTTTGCCAGCATTACAGGTGTAAGAGCATTATGGGGGATGTAGTCCACAACATCTGGAGTGCCGAAGGTTGCCTACCCCTGCTCTAGGATCTGTATGCTAGCAAACAGGGAGGGGTAAAAGGCTTATTGTGTTTCCCTTTTAGTAATGATAATAATTTAATATATTGCACCTTCCAACAGTCACAGCTCTCATGGGACGTTCCTGATTTAGAACCCGTATTCACTTGTTTTAAGTTATTATCTAGAGTCGGATGGAACGCACAAACAAACCAATGAGAGTTTGTAAAGTGCTTGTGTGGGACATTATCATAAAAACATCCATGCACATATACCCCAATTTAAGCCATGGGCATGCTGTATCTTGGTATGACACTGTGGCGAAAGTAACCTCACCACTAGCTTTTGGAGGAGCCTGTTTGCCAGCCCCCTACCCTGTGACTATGGCCCCTGTAATAGATTATGCTTTTTGGACTTGGACAGTAACCCTTCGAACTTCCAAAGTGTTTCCAAGCGGCACTTTGAACTTCAGAACGGTCGAAGTGGTTCGAATTGACATTCATACACGTGGAAGCAAAAGCGACCATCTTAAGCCACGAGTACAATGAGCGGTATTTGGTCGTCAAGTTCATGGAACTTAAATCGGACACTCAACGACACGAACATTGCTAACTATTTACCTTCCATGGATGTTCGGCTATTTGAACGGGGGTTGAACAGCGTTTGGTAAGAATAAACACCCGAAGGAAAGACATAGACTAAGTGCCAGATAAACTCTCTACGTTCTGTATTTTTATTGCACTTTGAATCCCCGAAGTAGACCGACCGCACAGCCTAATTCTCTGGAATTGTTTTGGGCATGGGGCCATGCATGCGGTCAGTCAAAATGTCACTTCCAGGAAATTCCTGAACCCCTGAACTGATCTGGATGATTTTTGGATGTTGGTCATTCAGATCAGGGCTATCACGGGATGTGACATCTGTGAGATATTATGTGTTTTGGGGGTACTTTTGGGGTTTTATAATATAGTTTTTTTTTCCTGCCTGGAGATAATTGAGTTATTACAGTATCTGACTCCATTATCTCCCAGGCAGAGGGGAGGGATTGTGTGCTGTGTGTGGGAATGTCATGCCTTGTAACCCTGTTGTTATTGGCTTGTAATTTTGTACTGTAGTCTAACATCAAGTCCATGTGGGCATACCCTTTGCATGGGCATTGTCATATAAGGCCAAGTGTGGCACAATTAACATCAGTTCTTCTTCACCCTGAACATAGAGCCTCGTCTCATGTGTGGAGGGGACAGCTATATTCACTCTGGGGATTGCTAAACTCATTATACTCCCCTGGGTTCTAATCACTAGCTCTTATAAGATCTGTTCCTGCTATACTCTCTGGAGTAGGAGAGGTTCACCAACTGGAAGTTGGATCCTGGTCTTGGGTCCAGGGTGGGTGGAGGTGGAGGACGGCGAGACCCCAGCCAACCTGCGGAAGCTAAGGGGCTACAGTGCTGATGGTGTCTGGTGGAGGGCTTGGAGTCCTCGATGAGCACTAGGAGCATCGTTTGACGGAGGCACCTGGTCGGGGTGCCAGGGGGTCCATCACAGACACTAGTCATAAAATGACATTAAATAGATACGTTGTGTCTCTCTTTAGCATGGCTTTGCTTATGCTAGGCTACTGTCCAACCTGCCACCAGTCTCAACAAATCCTGACGTGAATCCATTGCCTAGTTATAACAAACGTGCATAGTGTTACATGTATTCTGTGACTTCCTAAGATATTATCAGGACATGACCATGCTAAGGGGTAGAGAAACGTGGAGTGATGCCACCAAACCTAGCCATCTGTAGGTGTACCTCAGGGTAGGATATTAAAATCACAGACAGGGGCAACAAAATATAGATTTTGTAGCCCAACAACTGGCAAAGGGCTACAGCGGTACAGCCCTGTGTCTTTTGCATATGAAATTATGCCCAAATTGTATTTCCAATTTTCTCTTATCTGATTGCAATTTCTCTTTTTCTGTTCCAGCACTTCTCGGAGGCCCTCGATGATTTTTCCAATGAGTTATTTAACAGTTTTTTCGATGATCCACCGCTGCTGGACCGGGATGCTCTGCTCGACATGGACGTAGAGAGTCCAGCACCAGCCATTCAGGTGGAGCACAGCTACTCCTTGAGTGGAGATTCAGCCCCTCAAAGCCCAGCGTTCACTATCAAGGAGGAAGATGAAGAGTGTCCAAACGGTGAGTGAGTTATATCTAATTAGCCATGTACATGTATAAGTGTCATCTACACTGGAGCAGTATTCTGTAAATAACTCTCCGAAATAAGTCACGTTATAAAAAAAAGTGCTCAGCAAACCATTGCAAATGTTTTCTTGTAGTAGACTGAAATTTTTAAAGTTTTTAAGAATGTGTAGCTTAGAAGTTGTCACAGAAGCTGATTCTTCCATCCGAGAAACCATGACCACTTCTTCTAATTTAAATTGTCTGGGTGCCCCAGCCTTGTCCTCTCAACCCAGTTTTATAGAAACTGCAATATTGACATTGCAGGGTTAAATCCACTTTTAGTGGCTGTCATGCTGAGGTGTTTCTGCTGGTCACGTGACGTGGAAGCCCATAGGAAAGCATTGAATACAATTATTTCTTATGGGGAATTGAATGCGCTCACTGCTCAGATACATTAGGTTGTCAATTGCTCCTCTATGACACCATGCCTCCTCCATGGCGTCACGGGAGGTGGAGAGATGAGCAGTGCCGAGGGAGCCTTTGTACTCAAAAAAGGTAAGTAAATCATTGATTATTTTTTATGGAAAATGGGGCGGGTGGGGACCTTGATACATTAAGGGACAGGGGCACTATAGCTTTGAGAATAAAGGTTTGTATTCCTAACGCTTTAAACGCCTGACTTCTGTAAAAAGCTCCTCCAATATTGACATGCATTAGTCTCACCAGTATGGACTACCATACGTATTACATCTGGGGATTCTAGGAAATGAATGACATCATCAGCAGATGGTGCAAAATCTTGTGTCTGGGTTACTGACTAATCAGACTCGCACTTGTCACATAACAACCACCCTCGGCTCTCTGCACAAGTTGCCTGTAAAGTGATGAATACACTGTTGTCTTGCCGATTTTTAAAGATCTACGGAGCCAGGACCTCGGATGATTGAAGGAGTCCTTGGTTCCCGTTTCATCTAGAACTGGGAGTACCAGGAATTCATGTCAGAATATTTTATATCTGGTTTCTATTAATACTGCTCTAAATCAGTGGAGCTCTCTCTCCCAGCTCGTCTAATGGAAATCTCTAAAGGAGACTCCAAATGAATCACTAAATCATTAATCACTAACATCAACTTAAGCGCAGGCTTCTGAGAAACATCGAAAGCCTAACTTTTAATACCTGGACATAAATCTGTAAATATACAGGTCCGACTAGGATAAGAGCTCTGTTTACATTGATTTGGTTGAACTTGATGCACTTTAATCTTTTTTTCAACCTAGATTACTTTGTAACTATGTAACTATATCCAGGCGGCCCACGGGATGCTGCTTATTGTAGCATCACCGCTTTTCCCAGCACTGAGGCCATTTTAACAACAGAGAAAATCTAATGAAAATGTTTTTTTTTTTTTTTTTTTAGAATGTATTTAACATTTTTTATATTAATCAATAGGGCATAAAAACGGGATGTCGCAGGTTCTACTTTGTCCTGACTTTCAGTCACAGCTTCTTCCTGCTCCCAGGATATATAGATCCAGAAGGAGAGAGTGTGTCAATGACTGAGCAGTTAACCTTTGTAAAGGGAAAATAACATAAAAGCATGTCAGGACTTATTATACGAGGAAAACAAAAAGAATTAACCTAGGGCCAAAATTTAGATATCACAAGGTAGAGGGCACAAAAAAGGGGGGTAACCCCTAAATGGTGAATATCATAGGGAATAAACAAAAAAAGAAACAAATGCCATTCTACCTGTGTATGATTTACTGAGAAGATTGTAGATTAAAAAGTAACTTTTAATAAATAAATCTAAAATAAGAATATAAAAAAGAAAAATAATATGAACAGCAGGAGTAAATGGAGACTATACAGCGAGTAAAACTCTGTGACTACTTATATAAGCTGTAAAAGTGTATACATAATAACACTAATGCTGAAGCAATACTGTTTAGCTACAATATAACATCAGTGTATTCCCAAGTAATAGAAGTGATACTATATTATATATCACTAATAGCTGTAGCAAAAAGGGGGGGGGGAGATAAGACAACTGCTAAACCAGTGCTGTCAATAGTTCAGCTAAGACAGATTTCTGACAGACGGCGATTAGCCAGTTAAATATCACAAAAGCTGCCTAGATCATAGCAGCATTTTGATAATAAATTAAAGCTTGCTGTCAAGCAGTAAAGTGTAAAATAAGGGGTTGCTGACCTGGCTCCGTTTTTTTCCTGCAAGATACCTAGCAGTATATTCTAGTGTAACAACAGCTGCCTGCACTGAATGATGTTAACTTATGCTTGACCACAGTGGAGCACAAAGTAGTAGCTCACCTGTGAAAGACTGCTGACAGGCAGCAGTTAACTGGTTAAAAATCACACAAGTTGCCTAAATGCTAGCTGCATCTAAATAATAGGTCAAAGTATAAAGAGAGGGTTTACAAACAGTTTTGAACAGGTTGCCTAGGTAGTAGAAAATATACAGACAGTGACAGAGGAAGGCATATAGAATAAAGATTCCTGAGTCTTGTGCCTTCGAGGGCACCCCTTAATAAAATGCCTAGTCTTATCAATCTCCCCCCATACACATAATAAAGGAAAAAGAAAGAGAAATAAAGTATGTACAGAGTACACAAAATTAGTGTTAAGAGTCTCTTGTCAGGACTTCCATACAAATAAAATGCACGGCTCACATGTTCAAATAAAATTAACTTATTATTTGCATCTGAATACATGGGAGCAAAAACAACAATGATCTGGTCAAATATGAGTGAGAATGATAAGTACTTTGAGTATAGACTTGTGCCCTGTGGCAAAAAGGCAGATATATATCTCTCATCAGGGCAAGATGAGGATATAATCTAATCCAGGCTTCCCCAAACTCTGGCCCTCCAGATTTTGCTGAACGACAACTCCCATGATTCTCAGCCTTTCTATTTAATTCATAGAATCATGGGAGTTGTAGTTCAGCAACATCTGGAGGGCCGGAGTTTGGGGAAGCCTGCATCTAATCCTTTCAACATCAGCATTTGAAAAGCCTGGTATATTCATTAAATAAAAATAAAAACAAACAAAATACAACTGAATGTGGAACAAGCTGTCACAAGTTGCTCCCTCTAGAAAATTATCAATAAAACTCACTTGTCTGAAGAGAAATGACTGAAGGGGCACTGCAGGTTGGATTTGACCTATTCTGTTTTAATGAATTCTATAAATAATGATTTCAAATGTTGGGGGCTAGCCAGAAAGGCTGCCTTTCACTCTAGTGTGTTCACACATCCCTTCTGTGGGCTGTCCTGGCCCCTTTTACACCCCACTTGGGCGGGAGAAAAGTAAACTTAACATTACAGTACATAGTAAACGGGTAAATATTGCAGGTCGAAGGAACGTCGGGCTTAAGGAGCAAAACAAATTATTCTTTTTAGAAGATTAGTTAGGAAAAATAGTGATTTGTTAGACTAGCTAGCTGTATGTTAACATGCAGACAGCCCCAAACATACACGGAGTGCCCCGTTATGGGAACATATCGCTAACAAATCCAGTGCACTATATAATTTCCTTGTTATCACATACTAATTACGGCAAGGAGTGGTGTACGCCCTAGGCAGTAATGAATATTAACATCTTCCCTTTGAAAAGAGATTAGCTGTTCACTATTGCTTTAATAGACACAGGTGTTCTCATGGTAGTTAATTCTAATTCATGTAAATCAGGTTCCTCTGCAAACTTGTGTCTTTGTGCCCTCACTCCTTGTGTCTCCCCTTTGTTAATCTTGGCAAACTGGTCCCAGATTTCTTTGGTAGGGTGCGTAGATGTTTAGTAGTTTCTGCCAAGTGGAGTACCCTGTGTAGTTAGATATGGGACCACTACAGGGCGCCATATTCTACACATGTGTTGCTTGTACTCCCTACCAAGACTGAATGAAGGTCTGAAGTGCAGGGAGTTCGGAAACAGCTCAACATCTGCCCGGCTAAAAGGTATCCAGTGGTAAAAAGTGTACCCTGCAGTGATGCCCCTAGTGCTAACTACACAGCCTGTCATTGTCATCCAAGGTTAAACGTCTGTGGATGGATAATGCATTGAAAAAAATATCGCAACGTGGTTTTCAGTTCCCTACAGTTCAGTATTTAGTGATTAATTCCCATTTTGTTCCTGTCTGTATACGTGTCCTAATTTAGAATAGTCACACATTAGTTGACGTTTTTGCGCTGTGCTGAGAGCACTAGGACAATAAAGGCAGCCATTTAGCAGTATTCTGTGCAAGGTCTGCCCTGACTGGGGCTGGCAGCAGGTTGTCAGTCATCTCCCGTTAGGACTGCAGACCCCTCGTCCTGATTTCATATCTCCCAATGTTGGGAATCGTGCTATATATATCCTTTGTACAGCGCTACGGAATCTGATGGCACTATATAAATAATAATAATATATAATGTATTGCCTACTATAAGGGATTTATTTACTAAACAGTCAATTTTGCAGTATTGACTGGTGACTTGAGAAATATAAGTGGGATTTTTTTGTTCACCCACATTGTTGAAGCTGGTTTGCAGCTCAATATAATGCACTATTTAGAAACTAAACCCTCCCGCACGAATGTATCGAGTATGTCCTGCTGTGTTTTAGTTCAGTAAGAACTTGTCAGCTCTGTGTCATGTATACTCTGTTACAGACGTTCATACATTGATTTACGTATAATATGACTTGCTAGACCCCCGGCTGTTTGTAGTTAGGACTATTCAAGACACTTAATAAGGATGTAATCTCAGAACTCAAACAAGATTTGTGTTGTATTCGGAACAGTATGGGGTTACGTTATCTTATGTCATTCAGAACTAAACATCTAAAACCGTTTACCTACTTCAGTCCTTTTCCATCCCTGTAAACAATGCTATGCTACCATCATTATCTCTACACACTAAAACTGGGGACCGGACTTTAATTCACATAAAGGTGCGGGCAGATGAGTCATGAGAGTGTCAGTTCATTGCGAGCTGAAGTTCTAAAAGTCGAGACAGCCATGTGATGAGCAAACTAATCACCTGCAAAACTTTAAATGAATCTAAAGAACATAAACCGGGGACAAAATCGGGCACGATGAGGGCTTTTTATATTTTGGTCATTTTATTGTAATTGTGGCTATTTATAAAGTGTAGATAACTACATATTAAGCATTGCAGAGAATTGTAGAGTCCTAGTTCGTTATAATACTTCGCTTTAGGAAAAAGTAAAAGCAAGAGAATTTCAAATTGTAGGCCAGAATTGCTAATTAAGAAAAAATTAACAACATTTTCAATGACCATATTTTGAATAAAATGTGAAATTCTCTTTGAATTTGAGAAGTTCACACAGTGTTCAGTGATACCTGAAAAGTAAAATATTTAAAGTATAAAAAATTTTACTCTGTTTTCATATATTTTGTTCTTTATTACAGATATATTAGGGGATACTATACAATATGCATACGTCTTATATTTCATCTATTTCTCTCAGTAAAAATATATAAAGCCAAAATATTAAGGAAAACAAAGATTACAGTTTCCCCTATTGTGAAACAATCACGAAGGGTCTGAAATATTGGTTTGGTATAAAATTTTACATTCGTTTGAATTCCTGATAACTGTAATTGTTGGCAGAATGCAGTTATTGCACCCTGCAACAAATCCCTGTAGTGTGTTCAGCACGATGGGCTCTCACTCCTTGTTGTTAGAATGGTGTGATGAAGTTTGACCTACCGTACAGTGTGGGGATATAAGTGAGTGTCTTGCACTAAATTTCTCTAATCATTTTCCCAGGAGGTAGTTTTGTAGATACAGTGACACCATAATAAATTTAATTATTTGTATTAATCCAAAAAAAATGGGCTGGAAAATAGCTAAGTTGGATATTTCACATTTGGTTATTTTAAAATGTGCAAATTCCTGGTTTTACAACTAAGCCTCACAGCATGGGGTGGATGGAGGCTATGATGGCAGAACAGGGTGGATGGAGGCTGTGATGGCAGAACAGGGTGGATGGAGGCTGTGATGGCAGAACAGGGTGGATGGAGGCTGTGATGGCAGAACAGGGTGGATGGAGGCTGTGATGGCAGAACAGGGTGGATGGAGGCTGTGATGGCAGAACAGGGTGGATGGAGGCTGTGGTGGCAGAACAGGGTGGATGGATGGCAGGCAGGGTGGATGGAGGCTGTGGTGGCAGCATGGAATGGCATGGATGGAGCTGTGATGTCAGAACAGGGTGGATGGAGGCTGTGGTGGCAGAACAGGGTGGATGGAGGCTGTGATGGCAGAACAGGGTGGATGGAGGCTGTGATGGCAGAACAGGGTGGATGGAGGCTGTGATGTCAGAACAGGGTGGATGGAGGCTGTGATGTCAGAACAGGGTGGATGGAGGCTGTGATGGCAGAACAGGGTGGATGGAGGCTGTGATGGCAGAACAGTGTGGATGGAGGCTGTAACTGCAGGGCAAGGTGGATGGAGGCTGTGAAGTTGGAGGATGGTTGGTGGAGGCTGTTTTGGCAGAGCAGGGTGGACGGAGGCTGGGGTGGCAGGTTTTAAATTTGCACCCACCCCAGGAGATAATGGTGAATTGCAGCATCCTCAATTTTTTGCCATATATAGGCTTGCAAAGTATTATAGGAGTTGTAGTCCATAAAATTCCTGTTGTAGAGATTAGGCATTTAAGTTGAAGCCCTGCTGGGACACCAGAGGAAAACCTTGTTATGGAATAAGAAGCAGCCCAAAGCCAAGGTTGTGCTGACACATTAGGCGCTGTTGAGCTGGCAGGTATGAGCCTGTGGTTGGCAAAGGTTCATGAGATTTGTAGTTCATTATTAGCTGGATGTCTGGCCTTTGAATAACACGGGCTGGAGTCTAGAATTCTGATGGAAAGAGAGGAAACGCGATGCTCTGGGGATCTGTAGGACATGGCTTTGTTTAGCAGGATGCTCTGTTGGTCTGTTTGTGATTTACGTCCATTCCTTATAATCCTTCCTGAAGTAGTGATGTATTAACCAGTTTGTGTTTGTCCTTTAGAACCAGGCAGCGCAGTCTGGGCCTTGGAGCATGAGCTCTGCTCTTTACTAGTGAAACAGGAGCACAGCGTGATGCCACAGGCAGAGGCAACGCACAGAGCACTGCCGAGCACAGCCATGGAACCAGAGCAAGGTTCCGGAATGCTACAAGAAGAAGAGGTACGAAAGCAATGTCTGAGTGACAAGGTTGGACAAGTTAATGGCACTAGATAATGTTAAGATCGAGGTTACTTTGTAACCATTTCCTGCTCCAAAGATAAGAAACATTTGCAGCATTCCCTATTTAATACCATGGAAATCTCGTTTCCAATGTTTTATTACTATTTATCAGTAGTTAACTAAACTCTTATACAATAAAGAATTTTTTCATGTACACGTTTTTACGTGTAAACTTTAAATCTGCACTTTAGCTTGTGCATGCTGCTGGTATGCTTGTGTTTGTGAGCACTCAGCATGTCTGTTACCAGGCGTAATGGCCTTGATTTAAACTGCGCACATTTTATTTCCCAAGTCCCCAGTTTCTAAGTTCCCCTCAGGTACCCTACTTTCATATTTAGGGTCACCATGTATTGGTGTATAACACTGCACAGGTGTGTCGATCTGGCAAGTACACTGTGTGTCAGCTCACTGTAAATTACAAGTGACACACTGACCTCCCACTGACTATCCTTGTTGGGTGCATAGCAAGTGGGCTGGCAAAAACCCCAAGAAAATAAATTCTAATCCCAAAATATTGGGTTATTATTGAGTTGATTTAAATGAAAAGAAACAAATCATCCTATTAAAATGTGAAAAAGAGAGAGATTTCTGGCGCTTGCTTTTTGTATCTGTAGGAGCTCGAACTTCCCGAACCAGAATCTCTTCCTTCTGGTTGTAGATGAGAATAAATAAGAGAATGACGGGAAGCAGCGCTTTCAACTGAAGTCCTTGGTTCCAATGGAGCAGTATGAAAAATAGAAGGGACAAAACCCAAATATAGTGTAGTATTTTAGGGAATCAAATATGGCAAATAAAAAAAGATTGCACTTTCACTTTTCTGGAGCTCAAGATCAGCTCCGGACACTGCGCCTGGACGGTACAATCCCCGTCTGTGGATATGTAGATGGTCCTGGTACTACTATATGAGGAGGTGTCTTTTGGCCAGTGGTTATCGATGTAAGGTCAGCAGCGGTGCTTACATTCGATGCATTCTGGTATGCCAGTAGATAGTGCTCCAGTAATATAAAAGAAATATAAAAACATAGTGCTCTCTGTAATGTTAAAATAATAAATAATTAAAAGGAGATAAATTCACAAAGGAAGAGCAAATAAGTATTGCTCAATCCTAAACGCCATAAGTGGTATGTTCCCCACCAAGGAACATGGAGTCCTCCAGGTAAAATCCTCAAGGATGCAGATAAAAATAACAAGTAGCTTAAAATATTAATAACACACAAACGCATTTCACCTGTACAAAAGGCTTTTTCAATCAATAAAGTGTAAAAATAATCTTCATGACTCAAAAGGTAATCCATTTTATGGTTACTTCTGTGACGCTCAATAAGCAGTTATAAGAATTAACACCTTTTACTGCATGTATCCGATCTTCTGCAGTGTGTGTGCATGCGGGTATGCATATCCCAGTTAATATCATTATACAGAAGGTTCTGAGATGTTGCCTTTAAATGTATTCTCTACACACCAAAATCTTTGTCTTAATGAAGCAGTTTTGGTGTGTAGATCATGTCCTTGCAATCTCACTGCTCAATTATCTGCCATTTATGACACATGACTTAAAAAAAAAATTCAATCAGTACAGTGTGTTTTCTTTAGAAGTTTTCATATCCTGCTGTGTGTATTGAACTTTAATTCAACTTTAAACGGTAATGATTTCTCACATTTAAAGGACAGATATCCTATTGCTGAATATGCCTCAGTGACTTTTCCTTTTTATTTTCAGAATTTCCCCAGGACTCCGATTTCAAACATAAAAGCAGAGCCTGGTGTCCCAAACCACTTCTTAAATGTTCCAGCAGGTGAGTTTTAAACTGTCACCCAACGACTGCCCTAAGAAATTAAATATTTAATTTACAACTGATTTCTTGTATAGCTTAACCTAGTTGCCAGTCTGTGGGGTTTAGTGGGTTAACATCTAGGACAATTCAGGCCAAAGTAGTGGAGTGGGGGGGAGGGGGTTGGGGGTAGAGGGAACAAAACAAAAACATTTACTTAGCTAAGTTCAATTTGGCAAGTTTTTTTCCCCACCTCTTCTCTAAACACGGGCAGCACGTGCCCACGTATCCCATTATATGGGATTGACAAAGTCCTCATTAAGGCCAAAACGTTGCCAGATCAGCTTAATCGCTGAATGAAACGCCACTTCCAGCACAATATTATCGTGTCGATGTGGTGACATTAAAGTGATGTAATGGGGACAGTAGCACTGTCCCTAAAGTATCTGTTGTTGATTTTCCATAATGTGCCATTTGATAGTTGAGCTCAATAGTGTTATGGAAATACCTTTAACAGACCACCAAACGTTTTATACTCACATAGAGAGATTTATAAGATGTGACAGTCACTACGATCATCCAGTGTTTTCAGATTTCTTTTTGTTGTCTGTCCTAAAATGTGTTATTTCCTTGCCAATTCTACCCCATCTGCTATGTGAAGAGACCGCAGACTACGTTACTGCTTAATACATTATTCAGTATATTTGTTCAGAGTTCAAGTTTTATCTCATTCCATAACTTTACTTTGTTTTGCTCTCTTCCTGTTTATTGTAGATGTTTTAGGTATGATGCCGCTCACCCCTCCAAGCAGTCATAGTAGCGACAGTGATGGGTCTCAGAGTCCTCGTTCTTTACCACCTCCTAGTCCAGCTCGCCCAGCACCTCGGTCTTCTCACGCCATTTCCTCATCACCACTACTCACTGCTCCACATGTAAGTGTTGCGTGTGACGAGAGTGGTTTTCCAGATGTCGAGTCTTGGGGAAGTTTTGTTAAAACAAGAGCTGATTGTATGTTAAATTCTCTTGGTGATCAGAAACTTCAAGGCACCTCTGGACCATTGATGCTGACCGAGGAGGAAAGACGGACTCTAGTTGCAGAGGGTTACCCAATTCCCACCAAACTGCCTCTTAGTAAGACTGAGGAAAAGGCTCTGAAGAGAGTCCGCAGGAAAATCAAGAACAAGGTGAGAAGGGTCACAGTGGTTCTGGTTAAATAACTCAGGTACAATTCATGAAACTTCAGTGTCTTGGTTAAATAGTGCATAAGGCAGAATTGGGTATGGGTACATTAGGTAAAACTAAAAGGTGGTAGTGTGAAACTCTGCCACCTAGGGTCACTCTGGAAAAAGCACCCAAAACAAGTTATAAATGTAATATGGGTAAAAACACACCCATAACATACAGGTTGCAGTGCTTGTTAGGATGGTTTCACTGGTAGTGTGTAATATTTTGCCTATATTCCATTTTCTATCCTGCAGATCTCGGCCCAGGAAAGCCGCAGAAAGAAAAAAGAATACGTGGAGTGTTTGGAGAAGAAGTGAGTTTGGAAATGTGTGTACGTGTCTTCGTCTTTGTATTTTTGTGCATGTCCCTCTGTCTCTGGTGGGGAGGGTGCTTTACGAATGCTCCTATTGAAGACAGCCTAGTCCTAAAGTTAACATTTTTAGATGAGCAGGTACGCACAAAGCATTTCTCTATTACAGATATAATTTGTTAAATTAGCTTTGTAAGTAGAAAATTAGCTGAGGATTAGAACACGCCCTAAAGAATCAAAACCAGGATGCTGATTGGTGTGTCGGGGGTTAAACAAGTTTTAAAGGTGAAATAATCATTGGGACCATCCAGTCGGAATAATAAATTGAAATTTGAATCCACGGTGCTTTATATGAATAAAATCAAATGCATAAATGGCTACTGCATATACGGCGTTAGACCCCCACTAAGAAATCGCATATCTCAATATAAAAATTGTACTCCATTGAATAAAGTCATATATTTATAAATGCTGGTTGTTCTGTATGATCTAAAAGTTGTGAAATAAAAAAAAAAAAATCATGATCACACAACATAATGACTTTTTCCCCACTGAATGCGGAATTGTCGTGAATTAAAAAGAAAAATGCAGATTAACATAATAAAGCTGTGCATTTATCTGAAATGGATACTTTATTTTAACCTTAATTCTTTATTTGAATTTAATTTTCATATCACTACAATGTTTAGCGAATAATACAAATTCACTATTTGGAGAATAAGTCCCATTCCCATATAAATGATAAAAGGTGTGATACTGTTAGATACACAGTCAGTTTAGAAATATACAGTCATTAACTATCTTAACAATCTGCCATTTGCAACCTATGAAAGTGCAGAGTTGTCAGACCTGCTGCTACAGTAAATCGTTTAATAGATCTCCCCTATTTATTGTGTCTGTGAGTCAATGCATCCTGTGTCTTGTTGCCTTTGTATTTGTTTGTGTGTGACGTACATGTGTCACCTCCCCCTTTTTCTTAAGTTTCTTATCTTTGGGTAAGTGCATGCATTTGGGGCCTTCTGCTAATCTACTACACCCATCAGTCTCAGCCACATTACTGGTGCAGAGTGAAGAGAGTTGTAGACAGCAGTTAGTCTGCCCCGTGTCTCTTTGTCACGTGTCAATCTTCGTCTTCTTCTAGGGTCGAATCCTTCACATCACAGAACAGCGAACTTTGGAAGAAAGTGGAAACATTGGAAAACGCAAACCGGTGAGATTTGAGTGAAGTAGCTCCTAAAATTATTCTTCTGAATCAATTTGTAGCAAAAAAAAAAAAGTAATAGTAATTGGTTTGGATAAACAGAATTTCGTCCATGCTGTCATTTTGGGAAAAAATAATTTTGATGAGCCAATATGGCAGGGAAAACGTGCCTACTAGTGTATTGCAATGGAACAAAGCTAAAGGTATTCGAGCATTTTTGCAATGCAATTCTGACTACTTCTTATTATTGCGATTTATATAGCGCCAACAGATTCCGCAGCGCTTTACAATATAATTAGTGGGGGATTTAACTATAAATAGGACAATTACAAGAAAACTTACAGAGACGATAGGTTGAAGAGCTTACAGTCTATGACTTCTTACAGTTATATTATTAATCTGTATTTTAAAAAATTAAATATTACGTGAGAACCTACATGCAATCTCTCACAGAAATGGTAAAACAATAATCACTACTGGTTTCCCTCCCTCAATACCTGAGGTCAGAGGTTATCCGGAAGAATCCTGCTTGGAAATAGATTATTTATTTTTGTAAATGCTCCTCCTTTTTTCTGACCTATTGGTCACGTCTCACTTGATCTGTGAATAAAATTAACATTTAGTGGCTGTCCCTAACCATCAATTGTCTATTTCCACCTTTTGATTGGAGAGAAGAAATGCCCCACATCACTGGGCATCCCTAAGATTCCAACTAAGATTCTTATTTTTCCCCCAATCCATCAGCTTCTTCAAGCTTTTTTTAAGCTCCACATACCGAATCCTCAAATCACGAAACAAGTTGAAGAATATTGGAAAATTGCAGATTACCCAAATTGTTTAAAAATGTGCAATTCTAGCAGGAGTCATCATGGATTTTGGTGACTCATTAGATAAGATTTCTGTGAATTACAAACATTTTTTTTTTCTGTAGAAATAACTCCTTTATGTGCCAAGACAGGCAGACATACAAAATTAATTTTAAAAAAGTTCAAAATTTTAGAAAAAAAAAAGACTACTCACACTTAACTGTTAGCTAGCTATCAGATTGGGCAAAAATGTAGCGATTGTGCTTTAACTAATAAATCATACACCCCTGGTATGTACATTGTTTGCTAAACTACTTGCTTTAGAAATAGAATAATTAAAGATGGGCTTATATTGCCTCCTAGTGGATGATTTGTCAAACTACAGCTACAGGTTCCAGATACTAAATAAGTGTTTTCACATCAACTCTGCTCAAGATTAAAGCGGCTCTGTTACTTTGCGTAATTTCTCAGTTTCTCTTTGTTTTATTGTATTGAAATTCACCTCAGTTTTTAAATTATACATAAGAAAAAGTAGGGACTACTTTTTCTCACTGGGAGCGTGATCTATTGCAAATGTTTGACAATGGGATAGGCTTAAAATAATTCAGTGATTTACCCACAATCCATCAGTAAAACCAGTCCCACAGAAGGCAAACTGCAGACTTCATGATCAGAGTAAAAGAAAATAGGGGCACACAGGTATTAAGATCCGGCACATGGGAGAAAAGATTATTATTATTATTATTATTATTATTATTATTATTGTTATTATTGGTATTTATATAGCCTCAACTTATTCCGCAGTGATTGATATATAGACTTAAATATAAAGAAAGACACGCAGCTACAGGGCCCCCCACGGCCACCACATCATCAGAAAACAGTCTGTTTGTTAAAATCCCTCTAAACATATTGAATGATATTAATTAATTTTAGAAGCCTTAATTTAAATGTCAGCAGATGTAGTAAGCACTATTTAGTTCCTATAGTAAAAGCTTGAGATGCATTCCACATCTGATTCAATACGTCTCTGGACATTCTAAAGATAGTGCACAACGCCCCTCACCCAGGTGGTCCCTGTAATAGCAGATTAATCCCGAGGTGGGACCGACAGGCTCCCTGGCCCTCAACATCTTAAAATCACCCGTTGCTATCAGAAGCTTCTCCAGACAGCTATCGGGGGAGAGGAGATCTGCAAACAGACATGCGCGACACCGTTATCTTGTAACAGTGTCATTTATCATTTGTATGAAAAGGATTCTTTTCATTGCAACCGTTATCTTTTGAGGTGCTGCCCCCAAGTGTCCCTATTAATAAGGCTATGAACGACTTTAATAAATATTAAACATAATCATTGCATTTAAATATATCCAACCCAAACTGATCATGAGCATCTACAGACTAATTAAAACTAATAATTGTAATGGGCAGACTGGATTGTAATGCAGTTTATGTCTAGTGCCACCTAGTGTTAGTAATGTAAACTGCGCTTGCAATCTTATTTCTAAAGTCTAGATACAAAGTACATTGAGGGTATTTCTGACATAAAACATGGGATCTGTGTAAGTACACTATTAAATTCAAGTTATTGAGGTGGATGAAGCCAGCATCAGATTGAAAATACAGGATCACTTATTAAAATAGTTGGAAATACTTCATGTTGATTAAAACTTACCAAAAATGAAATTTCAGTTTTTTGTTGTATGTTTGTTGTCACCCCCTCCTTGATTCTTCGTTTGAGGCCGGTATGGCGCAGTGTTTTTAAGGCTGACCCTCAGGAGCAACTAATATGCAACCTTGCATTATGTTCTTGTGACTCCATCCTGTCAATAAGACATGTTGTGGCCTCTTCATGTGTCCTGAGACCAATTTAGAGAACACTGCTCTGAATAGCACATTAATGTCTGTTTGTTTAATCGAATGTGTAATAATAATTTTTGTGTTCCTATTTGTAGATCTCTGCTGCAGCAGTTGCAGAAGCTGCAGGCTCTGGTTACCGGCAAAGTGACAAGACCCTGCAAACTCGCAGCTACACAGACAGGAACCTGTCTAATGGTAAATTCTCAAGCACACTACCCTGCCAACATAGAGGAGCTCTAAATCATGTGTGCAACAGCCACAGCTCTCTCATTAGTGTGCTACAGCCCTGCCCCGTGTTCTAAGTGTGAAACAGCCAGGTGCTGTTCTTGTGTGTGACACTGACACCGCCAAGTACCCTCTGTCCTGTGCGACAACACCAAAGCTTTTCCTATTAGTGACAGTGCCATGTCCCCTGTGTGAAACTAAAACAGCCAGGCCATATCTTTTCTGCGACACAAACAAGGCCGAGTTCTGTGATATACCTTCTTCTATCTTCTGTGACACAAACATAAATACCGCTAAGTCCTTCTTCTATTGTGTGACATTAATAAAGCCATAACTTTCTTTGCATGTGTGACATTAATACAGCCATAACGTTCTTCTATTGCGTGACATTAATACAGCCATAATGTTCTTTGCATGTGTGACATTAATACAGCCATTGTTTTCCTCCCATGTGTGACAATAACACAGACATGGTGTTTTGCATGTGTTACTAATACAGACCAAGCCTGTGATGTATGGAAAACTAATGGAGCCAGAGCCACCAACGTGTACGTGACAGTGACACAGCCGGGGCCCCGTCTCCTTTGTATGATACATACAAGCTCTTTCTGAAGTTAACCCTATCGTTCTGACTTCTCTTTCCTCTCCTCTCTGCAGGTTGTGGTGCTTTGTTTTGTTCTTGCCTTTGGTTCCATGATTCCATCCTTGCCAGAATTTTCTTCGGGGTCTCAGACAGTGAAATCAGTCCCTCTCTTGGCACCTGACCTGTACTCCCTCAGCCAGAGTAAGACCCCAACCTGATGCCCCCTGTGCTTACTTGTACTGTGTTACTGCACTGACACAGACAGATACATTTATTGGGTCCCTGGCAGGGTGACAAAGAAGGCAAGGGCTCGTGGAGTTTAGCATCTTTTATATAACAGCATTTTGTAAATAATCAAAAACAGCATATAGGTTATGTTAAAAGCGAATCTACCATTTTTATGATATTAGCAATAAAATGCTTGAATCATGGAACCTTTATTTAAATTAAGCTTTGGCCAAATTCCAAGTCAGGGCAGTTGGAAAGTAATTGCAAGGAACGTTTTGGAACAACTTAAAAACTGTGAATAATTTACAATTAGATTTACTTTTAACACAACAAATAAACATTTTCAATTATCTTCACACTGTTGCAAGTACTGACCATAAAGGGTTCTAGAGCCCAGCACAGAGAAGCTATTGTAAATAATATTACTACATTTTCAAACTGGGGTAAAATAAACATATATATTTTGCAGTCCGAACCCGAAATCTCCTGTCCTACGATGAGGGGATTGGAAGCGAGGATGGAGCCAACTCGGTTTTGGGAGTCCAGAGGAGAGACGGTTGGGTCCCAGACACATCATCACCTGGCAGGCACATGGAAAACACGGCCCACGAGAGGAGCAAGTACCTGGGAGAAAATGATTGGGAAAACGGGACAGATGGAGGATTCACGAGGCAGGAGGAGGGGTGAGCAGAATACTCACAAATACTCATATTTAAAATTCTTTTCTTCATCAGTCTTTTGTGGGACAGAGAAAAGTTAGCATGCAAAATCCTGCTATTTTTTTATTTTTACAAAAACCACGGAATAAGTAATTATTTAGTCCAAAAACTATGAAATGCATAATAGTTGTGTGTTGCGCGTTGTGTGTTCCGTTATTGTTGTTAAAATGTTACAATTAATGGTACAAAGTATTAAATCTAGTAAATTACATTGGCTTTTTAAAGGCTTATTTACTAAAGTCCAAATTGGCTAAATTCTGTTAAGCAGACCTGCAACCCATTTTACAATTCTCATATTTACTGCAGGATAATTTAGTTGAAATTCACTTCTTTCAACAGAAATAGAACATTTCATTTGGTACCATACAGTGTCTGCTGTACAATCGTGAATGCTGACGTGAATTCAATAGAAAACGCACATTTTGCTTACTTATCAAACACTGGGTTTCAGTCGGATCCACTCTGAACTAATCGGGGAAAAGGCAAATTCACAAAATAAATTCACCTGCTTTTTTCAGGCGTTACTACAGAAATCCACAGTATTTGCATACTGGCAGCACAAGCAGCCAGCAGATAAATTGCTAAAATGAGTGCGTGTTCCTTTAAATAAATAGCCCTGTTTATATTTATTAAATTCTTCCCATTGCAATGCTAATTCTTAGGTAACGCATGGTCTACTTTACCTTGTGTAGCTCTTTCTCCTGATATCACTGTAAGTGGGAGAAGCCTAAGATTTAAAATAGCCGCTACATTTACATTTACTGGAAAACAAGACAAAATGCAATTGCAGAATCAAAAAATATAACTTGCAAAACAGGATAGCTTTACGAAATTAAAAAACGAAATCACGAAGAGTCTCATATGAAATGCGGCCAATGTCTCGTTTTATAAAGTTTGATGAATGGTTGTGCCTCTGAATAAAACCAGTCACCTGTGAATATTTTTTTTGTAAATTTTTTTATTTAATTAATGGAACACATTATATAATAGATAATTAGATTGCAGTACCATATAGTAGAAAGATTTAAAATGAAAGAATTTTATGGTAGATTGTTTATATTTTTTAATTGTTAAACAAGATGAGAAAGTCAGATAGTTATAACGGACACTTAACAACTTAGTTATTCAACAATCTTTAACATATCCAGTCTCAGATATGGGAGAGATGCATCATGGGAATACAGGTGCAAAGCGCTACATACAGATATATTGGTTTCCATGGTGATAGCCCCATATTTACCACTTTGCCCCACAATGGCACCTGCTATTACATATTGATATTGAAAAAACTGTCACTAATATGAAAAGCTTTGATACTTACTTGGATTCAAAGCTGTTGGTTTACTGGGAATTGAGGAGAATTCGCTAGAAAAATGCATTTTTGTGGACAAAACAGTTGAAAAGATGAAATAGCTCAGTTACATAATTCCATTGAAAGTTAATTACCATTATCTGTTTACTGAATATACTCATAGGGTATTATAAATTTTTTTTTTTTTCCCCACATTTTAGTTAATTGCAAAATGTAGGCAAAAATATTGGATTTGGCAAATTTCTCCAAACTTCGCTAGAGCGTGACAATTTATGACTACATTTTGCAAATCCATTCCATATCACTGCAATATGATGTTTAGTGAATTAACCCTGAATTAATTATTTCTGCTGTAACTTGTGCATCCCTAGCGGTTCTCTGATCGTGTCTGTTTTGCTATTTTACAGGGACAGAAGCTCTGAATTCTTGTAGGATTGGGGGCAGAGGGAGGGGGACCGGAAGCTGAACATTCCACAGGAAGGAAAAAAAATGCAGGGATGTCTGGATTTAGACAAAAAGGAACTTTGGGAATCCCAGAGAAAACACTCATCTCACTTGTGTTTGGAATAAACAAAACAAAGCACTGAAGTGGAAGAGTGTGCTGACGTGCAGAGGGTAGAGACTCAATAAGAAAAATTCTCTGCATGAAACTAGCACAACCGTCCAACTGGTGCCTAATCTGGCCAAGCAGCAACAAGACTGCCTGCAATCTCTTTAACCCCCAGCAGAGTGCGCTCTCTGTCTACTTGTATTGCCCTCCTATGATGACATTACCAGCTGCATCCCAAAGGTTTCACATTTGTTGCCTCCTCGCTGCCGGTTGGGACTGTATAATTTAGATGCCCTGTTTCAGGGAGTGAAGGACTCTTGCCTATTTATGAAAGAGGCACACCCTGCTTACTGTTTTTTGGTCATCGGTCCGGACCCCTCTCTCAACTGCTGCCCCCATCAATCGGTCCTTGTACAGACCACACCTGTATTTCTGGAGAAGATTTAGTTAATGCAAGCTTTGTATGCACGAGGAGGTCCTCCTCTAGATTTATACCTTTCTTATTCTCCTCTTTGCTCTGTGCCTGCTTCTTTTAAGCAATTTAAAATAATAAAAAAAAATAGCATCAGCAACATGTCTTCGTGTCTCACTAAATTTAAAGAGGAACACGGGAGAGGTAACGAAGAAAAATTCCGGTAAGATGAATCTGACAAATCAACAGGTCGAAACTGTGCCAGTCGTTGTACAGCAAACTATATATTTTTCAGCACACTGATAGGCACATTTTCACACCATTTTGGTTGATAGATCAATTTAGAAAAGGTAATCAATAGAGGGAGAAGCAGTAAAAAAAATTATTTTATATTTATTTCTTTATTTAAGAGACAAAGCTCAAAGATACAAAAATCATAGCACGTCTCAATTGGAAATACCCAGCAATAAAAATAAAAGCCTAATTGAAAAGCCAAATGAAAGAAGGTTAGAGAGGTAGGCTAAAGCAAGGGGTGGCCCGTTGCAATGTAGTTGTATCAAACACTCAGCAGTCTGATAACCAGATTACTTAGCTCCGTAGGTCAGCCAAGGATTCCACACTTTTTGGAAGAAAGAAGAGATATTTAGAACTATCGTAGTTAATTTATCCATAAGGAATATTTTCCTTCACATTTAGAACTATTCTTTAGACAAATTGCCACCAACGCCCTACAGACTGCTAGAGTGATTTTATTAAAGAGCTTTTCAGAGTGAGTCGGGAGCCCCTTACGAGGACACAGAAGAGCTATGCCCAAGGGTTCAAATCAAATGGTCTCCGGAAGGCAGCCACCAAGATATCTCAAACTCACAACCAGAATAAAAGTAATTTAGGACAGTCCTACCACGTGTGAAGGTAGGTACCACAATGGCCACAGAGGCACCAGCAAGAATCCATGCAACTTTTGCTTTTTCTATAAATTTGAATGGTATTCAATCGGAACAGAACTTAGTAGATCTGCTCCTGTGAAACGACCCAGGTGGCTGCCTTTTAGATGTCCTCCCACACACTCCTTCCAAGATTTCTCTGAGGTCCTGCTCCAGCTGGTCATATTATATATTGATTAAATATATTTGTTTTGTTTGTTTCCTTCTCGTGCTTTTTTTCCTCCTCATCACAGCTTGATCTGTGAATAAAGTCAACATGTAGTGACTGTGTTCTAGCCATCAATCAGTTTGTTTTCTCCCTCCTCCCCTCCCTCCCCCACCCCCCATCAACCATCTCTATTTGTGCCACTACGGTTGTAATTTAGAATCACAAATCAAAACGAACAAGATTGGCCATTACACTTGCAGTTCGGTTTGTTGATTTGACAACATTTCAGGAATTTGCCCGATCATCCTATCAGACAGCCCTAATTTAAAAGAATTGCAGTTTATAACTAAGCAAATCTCCAAGTCTAGTAAGAAGATGACGTGAATGCATTCTAACATAATAGTGTGCATTGAGAGGCTAACTTTCCTACTTCGCCATTTAAAATCATTATAAATCAAAAGGAATTTTCACTAAACAGATTTTACTACATTTAGCTACAAAACAAATCTCTCCAAATCACCAACACACAACTATTTTGGAAAATATTGTGAACATGTAACTGATAATCCATAGTTTAGTGAATACAATTTCCTTTGTTTTTATCATTTTAAGAAATGTTTAGGAGTAATTATAGATGAAATGAAAGCTCACTCAAACATTCTTATTTTATCAGCCTCTGAAGCAAGAGAGTCCCTTGAGAATCTAACTTGTGACAGTGAAGTTTGAACAGGTTTTCTATATTTACCAGAAGGGGATCTTACTCGATATACCAAGACCTTGTATTGCTGTTTTTAGCACCATATTATTTTCTTGTTTTCAAACCTATGCTATAGTAACATTAATGCTTTTTTGTAAATAGGAAAGAAATTGGTTGATACAAAAGGCTGTTGGGAACCAAAGCATTCTGCGCATGCACGATACAATATTATATAAACTTCAACTGTTTCAGAAGAGGGATTTTCATGACAATCCAACACTGGATTGTCCATGTTTCATCTATTTGGGCCATGATTTGCACGCGTCCTGTCCTATTGTCACATAACTTTTTAAAACTGTGATTTAGAGCTACTAGCCCTTCCAAATTCCATAGATCATCACTCTGGACTTGGCTCTTGTGCAGTAGTTCTTAACCTTTTTGGCAGGGGCCCAAATTAATTTCAAAGAGTCTCATTATTCCTTGGTCCCTCAGTAGCCCATCCTCTGGCTGTTATGTTACATACAACACAAGTAAATAATAATGATATCTTTCTCATTGTCCGAGGGTTCCCTGTTGCACTAGTGAAGGCTGTACTGTTACAGTAACCAATGTATTGTTGGGTCCCCTGGATCAGTGTAAAAGCCCAAATGTAGTGTTCTAACGCAGCGGTTAAAAGAACACTCATGCACCATAACCTCTTCACCTCGCTGTTGTTATGGTGCCTGGACTGTCCTCAGCCCCTCCTGTGTAAGTATTCAAACCATTTTAGAACAGTTTGATTTCTTACCTGGGGTGCACTGGGTACCGCTCCCTGTCTCCACTAATAATGACAGAGAACCAGACACTATCCTCACACTGTTACTGCAATACACCGACACTAAGAATATCCTCACACTGTCACTGCAATACACAGACACTGAGAATATCCTCACACTGTCTCTGTAATACCTGTATCGAGAATATCATCACACTGTCATTATAATACACTGACACCGAGAATATCCTCACACTGTCACTGCAATACACCGACACTGAGCAATCCTCACACTGTCACTGCAATAAACCGACACTGAGCAATCCTCACACTGTCACTGCAATAAACCGACACTGAGGATATCCTCACACTGTCACTGCAATACACCGACACTGAGAATATCATCACACTGTCACTGCAATACACAGACACTGAGTATATCCTCACACTGTCACTGCAATACACCAACACTGAGCAATCCTCACACTGTCACTGCAATACACAGACACTGAGGATATCCTCACACTGTCACTGCAATACACCGACACTGAGGATATCCTCACACTGTCACTGCAATACACCGACACTGAGAATATCCTCACACTGTCACTGAATACACAGACACTGAGTATATCTTCACACTGTCACTGCAATACACCAACACTGAGCATATCCTCACACTGTCACTGCAATACACTGACACTGAGAATATCCTCACACTGTCACTGCAATACACCGACACTGAGGATATCCTCACACTGTCACTGCAATACACCGACACTGAGAATATCCTCACACTGTCACTGCAATACAGACACTGAGAATATCCTCACACTGTCACTGCAATACACCGACACTGAGAATATCCTCACACTGTCACTGAATACACAGACACTGAGTATATCTTCACACTGTCACTGCAATACACCAACACTGAGCATATCCTCACACTGTCACTGCAATACACTGACACAGAGAATATCCTCACACTTTCACTGCAATACACCGACACTGAGGATATCCACACACTGTCACTGCAATACACCGACACTGAGAATATCCTCACACTGTCACTGCAATACAGACACTGAGAATATCCTCACACTGTCACTGCAATACACCGACACTGAGAATATCCTCACACTGTCATTGCAATACACTGTCACTGCAATACACCGACACTGAGAATATCCTCACACTGTCACTGCAATACACCGACACTGAGTATATCCTCACACTGGCACTGCAATACACCGACACTGAGAATATCCTCACACTGTCACTGCAATACACCGATACTGAGAATATCCTCACACTGTCACTGCAATACACCGACACTGAGAATATCCTCACACTGTCACTGCAATACACCGACACTGAGCAATCCTCACACTGTCACTGCAATACACCGACACTGAGCAATCCTCACACTGTCACTGCAATACAGACACTGAGAATATCCTCACACTGTCACTGCAATACACCGACACTGAGCATATCCTCACACTGTCACTGCAATACACAGACACTGAGCAATCCTCACTCTGTCACTGCAATACACCGACACTGAGCAATCCTCACTCTGTCACTGCAATACACCGACACTGAGCATATCCTCACACTGTCACTGCAATACACCGACACTAAGAATATCCTCACACTGTCACTGCAATACACCGACACTGAGAATATCCTCACACTGTCACTGCAATACACCGACACTGAGAATATCCTCACACTGTCACTGCAATACACAGACACTGTCACTGCAATACACCGACACTGAGAATATCCTCACACTGTCACTGCAATACACTTGATATAAAGTAGATCTTCAGAATTTCAGCCAGAAATTACAAACTTGTGAGATTAAACATCTGTGGTACGGAAATTTGAAAACTTATTAAAGATTAATATTCAGGAAAGCATTTTGAACAACAAAATCATTAGCATGAGTCATTGTTTGTGAAGGACTGATTATGTCAATTTATATTAACGATATCACAGGAAGAAATAAATTCAACATTTTCATAAGTATATTAAAGATAATGACACAAGAAAAGAAGTATCTGAGAGGAAAATGATATTATTACACACTATTTATTTATATATAAATGTATATACAGTGAGTACAGGCTCTCTGGTGATAAGTTCATTAATAAACCTGTGCAAAGGAGACGAGGCTCATCCAATGAAACGTGAAGACACAATGGCTCTTAACACTAACATGTTTATGTTGCAGTTTATGATCCAGTTCTTTAAATACTTTACCTTCTACATCAATCTACACTCAACACACTACAATGTCAAAGCACAAACTGATTCTTGACAGCACTGCAAATATATTAAACATAAAAAACTGAAATATCTCAGTGACATAAGTATTAAAACCCTTAACTCTGAACTTGGTACCTTTGGTAGTGATTACAGCGTCACGTCAATATAGGTATGATGTTACTATAGGTATGATGTCATTAAATGTATGATGTCAATATAGGTATGATGTCATTAAATGTATGATGTCACTATAGGTATGATGTCATTAAATGTATGATGTCAATATAGGTATGATGTCATTAAATGTATGATGTCACTATAGGTATGATGTCACTATAGTTATGATGTTAATATAGGTATGAAGTAATTCTATGTATGATGTCATTATAGGTATGATGTTGATATACATATGATGTCACCATAGGCATGATTTCACTATAAGTATGATGTCAATATAGGTATACAGGTGGTCCTCACTTTGTGACCTATGTGTTTTGCGACGCCTCTCACTTACGACAAGCTCTCTAGCGTGTATATTTAAGGGATTCCCCATGTTACAGAGCTGGTATATGTTCAGGTAATTTTCCCCGAACATAGATTTGATGGATTCCCTGCTCTGCTGTGCTTATCTATGTTCGGGGAAATTTCCCTGAAGACCTGCACTGGTGCGCATGTGCCTCACTTACCAAGCAATTTGTTTTACGACCTAGTCATAAGAACGGAACCCGGTTGGTAAGTGAGGAGCGTCTGTATAATGTCACTATAAGTATGATATCACTATAGCAGTGTTAATTGTGTCAACTAACAATTGTTGTCAAATGTTTAAGATTTAATCGACTAAACTAGACTAAAACAATTTGCCGTCAGAATTAACACTGCGCTATATGTATAATTGCTCTCTCATACAGCACTCTTACACTGCTCTCTCACACAGCACTCTTCACTGCTCTCTCACACAGCGCTCTTACATTGCTCTCTCATACAGCACTCTTACACTGCTCTCTCACACAGCACTCTTACACTGCTCTCACACAGCACTCTTACACTGCTCTATCAAACAGCACTCTTACACTTCTCTCACACAACACTCTTACACTGCTCTCACACAGCACTCTTACACTGCTCTCTCACACAGCACTCTTACACTGCTCTAACACAGCAGTCTTACACTGCTCTCTCATACAGCACTCTTACACTGCTCTCTCACACAGCACTCTTACACTGCTCTAACACAGCACTCTTACACTGCTCTCTCATATAGCACTCTTACACTGCTCTCACACAGCACTCTTACACTGCTCTCTCATACAGAACTCTTATACTGCTCTCTCACACAGCAATCTTACACTGCTCTCACACAGCACTCTTCACTGCTCTCTCACACAGCGCTCTTACATTGCTCTCTCACACAGCGCTCTTACACTGCTCTCTCACACAGCACTCTTACACTGCTCTCTCATACAGCACTCTTACACTGCTCTCACACAGCACTCTTACACTGCTCTCTCACACATCACTCTTACACTGCTCTCTCACACAGCACTCTTACACTGCTCTCTCTCAAAATGCTCTTACACTGCTCTCTCTCAAAATGCTCTTACACTGCTCTCTCGCACAGTGCTCGGACACTATCTCACACAGGAATCTAACATTGCTCTCACATAAAGGCACTCTCACACAGCGCTTCTACACTGTCTCCCACAGCGCTCTTAAACTGCTCTCTCACACAGCGCTAAGACACTGCTCTCTCTTACATTGCACTCACACAGCGCTCTTACACTGCTCTCTCACACAGCACTTTTCACTGCTCTCTCACACAGCGCTCTTACATTGCTCTCTCACACAGCGCTCTTACATTGCTCTCTCACACAGCGCTCTTACATTGCTCTCTCAAACAGCACTCTTACACTGCTCTCTCACACAGCGCTCTTACATTGCTCTCTCAAACAGCACTCTTACACTGCCCTCTCACACAGCACTCTTCACTGCTCTCTCACACAGGGCTCTTACATTGCTCTCTCACACAGCACTCTTACACTGCTCTCTCACACAGCGCTCTTACACTGCTCTCTCATACAGAACTCTTACACTGCTCTCACACAGCACTCTTACACTGCTCTCTCATACAGCACTCTTACACTGCTCTCTCACACAGCACTCTTACACTGCTCTCTCACACAGCACTCTTACACTGCTCTCTCACACGGCGCTCTTACATTGCTCTCTCAAACAGCACTCTTACACTGCTCTCTCACACAGCACTTTTACACTGCTCTCTCACACAGCACTCTTACACTGCTCTCTCACACAGCACTTTTACACTGTTCTCTCACACAGCACTTTTACACTGCTCTCTCACACAGCACTCTTACACTGCTCTCTCACACGGCGCTCTTACATTCCTCTCTCAAACAGCACTCTTACACTGCTCTCTCACACAGCGCTCTTACATTGCTCTCTCAAACAGCACTCTTACACTGCCTTCTCATACAGCACTCTTACACTGCTCTCTCACACAGCACTCTTACACTGCTCTCTTACACTGCTCTCTCACACAGCGCTCTTACACTGCTCTCTCACACAGCAATCCTACACTGCTCTCTTACACAGCACTTTTACACTGCTCTCTCACACAGCACTTTTACACTGCTCTCTCACACAGCACTCTTACACTGCTCTCTCACACAGCACTCTTACACTGCTCTCTCACAGCACTTTTACTGCTCTCTCACACAGCACTTTCTTACACTGCTCTCTCACACAGCACTTTTACACTGCTCTCTCACACAGCACTTTTACACTGCTCTCTCACACAGCGCTCCTACACTGCTCTCTCACACAGCACTCTTACACTGCTCTCTCACACAGCACTCTTACACTGCTCTCTCACACAGCACTCTTACACTGCTCTCTCAAACAGCACTCTTACACTGCTCTCTCACACAGCGCTCTTACACTGCTCTCTCACACAGCAATCCTACACTGCTCTCTTACACAGCACTTTTACACTGCTCTCTCACACAGCACTTTTACACTGCTCTCTCACACAGCACTCTTACACTGCTCTCTCACACAGCACTTTACACCGCTCTCTCACACAGCACTCTTACACCGCTCTCTCACACAGCACTTTTACACTGCTCTCTCACACAGCACTTTTACACTGCTCTCTCACGCAGCACTCTTACACTGCTCTCTCACGCAGCACTCTTACACTGCTCTCTCACGCAGCACTCTTACACTGCTCTCTCACACAGCAGCACTCTTACACTGCTCTCTCACACAGCACTCTTACACTGCTCTGCTCACTCTCTCACACAGCACTCTTACACTGCTCTCTCACACAGCACTCTTACACTGCTCTCTCACACAGCGCTCTTACACTGCTCTCTCACACAGCGCTCTTACATTGCTCTCTCACACAGCGCTCTTACACTGCTCTCTCACACAGCTCTCTTACACTGCTCTCTCACACAGCACTTTTACACTGCTCTCTCACACAGCACTTTTACACTGCTCTCTCACACAGCGCTCTTACACTGCTCTCTCACACAGCGCTCTTACACTGCTCTCTCACACAGCTCTCTTACACTGCTCTCACACAGCACTCTTACACTGCTCTCTCACACAGCGCTCTTACATTGCTCTCTCACACAGCACTCTCATACTAATTTATCCCCGACACTCTTCAGTTCCTTTATGGATATCCCCCATCACCATACAGTTAAACTCACACAGCGCTCATATAAATGTTCTCCCATCATTCTCAGAGTGACCTAAGCTGGTAATGCATTATGGGATTTGCAGTTCTACAACAGCCGGAGACCTACCTTTTGTCCACTCCTGCCATAGACAATTCTCACAGTACTTCTAAGTTTGTTTACAAACAAAGCGTCTATAGGTAACGATGCAATGTGATAAATACATGGAAACCTTCTCACAGCCCCTGAGAATCCAATTTAGCAGACATAGCCCACTCACAGAATCTAGAGACGAGAAGACGTTGAGTCTGTAAAATGGCCTGGTTTGATTAGAGAATGTAATCTGGGTCACGTAGCCGTGTGTGAATGGGAGTCTAGCTCGTCTAGCCGCGCAGGGTTAATTATGGTCTCTAAGATGACAGAATGAACATTATTATATTAGACGGTCTCCTCCTCTCTGTGGGGCGCACGCTGCTCTCTGACATCGCCTGTCACACCACAAACATTGGCTCTCTTACACACACTCTCAGGACAAACAATTTCTCTCTCACAGGGACCTGCACTCTCAGGTCATCCAGCCTTCCATACCATCCTTCTGAGCATTCGCACACCACTCTGTCTTGCTCTCTCATCTATACTAACACCTCCCAGCCTGGTTTTCTCCTATCGCACAAACCTGCCTGCTAAGCCCATCTAGCCATGATACATCACACAGCCTCTCTCCTACTGCCCTGCTCTCTCATTGTATCTAGCTAGGCTCTCTCTAACTGCCCTGCTCTCTCATTGTATCTAGCTAAGCTCTCTTTAACTGCCCTGCTCTCTCATTGTATGTAGCTAGGCTCTCTCTAACTGCCCTGCTCTCTCATTGTATCTAGTTAGGCTCTCATCAACTGCCCTGCTCTCTCATTGTATGTAGCTAGGCTCTCTCTAACTGCCCTGCTCTCTCATTGTATCTAGCTAGGCTCTCTCCAACTGCCCTGCTCTCTCATTGTATCTAGCTAGGCTCTCTATAACTGCCCTGCTCTCTCATTGTATCTAGCTAGGCTCTCTCTAACTGCCCTGCTCTCTCATTGTATCTAGCTAGGCTCTCTATAACTGCCCTGCTCTCTCATTGTATCTAGCTAGGCTCTCATCAACTGCCCTGCTCTCTCATTGTATCTAGCTAGGCTCTCTCTAACTGCTGCGCTCTCTCATTGTATCTAGCTAGGCTCTCTCCAACAGCCCTGCTCTCTCATTTTATCAAGCTACGCTCTCTCTGACTGCCCTGCTCTCTCATTGTATCTAGCTAGGCTCTCTCTAACTGCTGCGCTCTCTGATTGTATCTATCTAGGCTCTCTAATTGTATCTAGCTAGGCTCTCTCTAACTGCTGCGCTCTCCCACTAGAATTAGCTAGGCTCTCTCCACCAGAGTCATTTAACTCCTAGCTAGTCTTTCTAAGAGTGTCCTGCTCTCTCAGTCAATAAAGCTATACCTTCTACCATGGTCCTAGTCTATTACTCAGTCTAGCTAGCCTTTCTCCTAACCTCATGCCCTTCACCCCATATAGCTAGCCTTCCTACTAATCTCATGCCCCATATAGCTAGCCTTTCTCCTAATCTCATGCCCTTCACCCCATATAGCTAGTCTTTCTCCTAACCTCATGCCCTTCACCCCATATAGCTAGCCTTTCTCCTAATCTCTTGCCCTAGCTAGAGATTACTGCTGTCTCAGTCTCTCTAGTTAGGCTGTCTATCAGACTCATGATGTCTCAGTCTCCCTAGTCAGGCTGTCTATCAGAGTCCTGCTGTCTCAGTCTCTCTAGTTAGGCTGTATATCAGGGTCCTGCTGTCTCAATCTCTCTAGTTATGCTGTTTATCAGGGTCCTGCTGTCTCAATCTCTCTAGTTAGGCTGTCTATCAGAGTCCTGTTGTCTCAATCTCTCTAGTTAGGCTGTCTATCAGAGTCCTGCTGTCTCAATCTCTCTAGTTAGGCTGTCTATCAGAGTCCTGCTGTCTCAATCTCTCTAGTTAGGCTGTTTATCAGAGCCCTGCTGTCTCAATCTCTCTAGTTAGGCTGTCTGTCAGAGTCCTGCTCTTTCAGACTAATTAGTGTCTGTCAGTCTCTCTCTCTCTCCTTCCACACACTCTCTCTGATAACCTTGCTCTCTCATGTAACACAGTTACTCCTCCTTCCTGACTCCATCATTCCTGCATCTTATCTCTTCTCCCAGCCTCTATAGTCCTCTGATTCTATCACCTCTCCCCCCTCTCCTCACCTGCCCACTCCTGCCTCCCATCCTGCCATTCTGAGTCCTGAGCTCTGCCAGGAGCCAGCACAGCAGCCAGAGCCCAGAAGCATGGCAGAGGGAGGGCACAGCCAGGATCCAGGGCTTCACAGGGAGGAGGATGAAGAGGTGGCAGGACTCCATGGGGCACTGGAAGATGAGTACATTAAAGCTGGCACGTCTGGGGGGTTTCAATACCCGAACCCCAAATTGGTCCCCCACCCCCAGGGAGCCATAGATAACCTGCTCCCTCTATACATGAAGAAACAGCTGTCTTACAGGTGAGTGAAAATACAATATAATGGAATGTCTCTAATCTAAGTATCATATAGCAACCTGCTGGCACTCCAGGAGTTAAGTGATCTGATGTACAGATGCATGTTTTAGCTCTGAGTTACAATATGGTTACTCTGTATCTATTTCTTATAGAATTGCATGAGGATATATATATTTTTTTATCATTTACTTGTATTTACTTTTCTTTTTTCCATGTCCTGCCTATATCATTGGTTTTAAAACGTATATAGATTTTTTTTCTTTACCTTTTCCACTTTTAAATTCTGTCTGCGAAATTCAGTAGGGGTCTATCTACTAAACCGTGACTTGCGGTGAATCGAGAAACTAGTGAGAAAAAAAAAATGTATGAGCCAGAATAGTCAAATTTGATAGCTGATGAATTTTTCATTATTAAGTCACTAACATTTCTGATCAATTTCCCACAAATAAACCACTTATTCACCATTGGTTTTACTTATCTTATAATGTCAGCTTTCTCGGTTATTCTGGCACGTACAAAGGAAGCCTGACAATTAATGTGGAATTAGACTTATTCACTGTGAAGTTAATTGATTCCGTAAGAGCATCTCACATATAGTGCGTTTTTCAAAAGATGGGCGCTTTCAGTTATTTCTAGAGTAAATCTATTAATTTTCTGCAAAAAAAAATTAAAAAAATGAGATAGATTTAAAATGATCATTTATGTAAATTTTTTACGTATTCTTTACATATTTATATGCTCTGATTAATACATTTATAATATTCCACAATCTATGTCTTAAGTGATAAATTACAAGCCAGCATCAGTAACTGATCAATAATTATTTCTGACTTTTGGTTGGTGTTGTGTGAGTGTTTTCAACGCATTCACAATACATCGGCGAGATTGTGATCGCTTGGACGTGATAATGGCTCAAAGGCAATTGGTAATGTGTCAATAAATATCAATAGACAGCTTGGAATGTACCCATTATCAAGATAC